TATAAAACACAATAAGTAGCACAAGATCTCATGAAAAAGAGAGAGGATACGTACTTTGAGAATTGCTATTGCCACTGCAAATTCAAAAAATAGTTCATTCACACTACGGCACTTGAACGAGGACTACTATTTTTGCTCTTGTGCTGTCCCTTTGTATTCTCATTTTCAGAAAATTGTAGAAGACTCAGGAGTATAAATGTTTGTTAATATGTCTCCATTTCCCTATAGAAACCATCACTAAATTTTGCACACTCACAGTCCTTGAGATATTGAAGTTGGCGAGGTAGTGTTGGGCGGTGCAAGCCAGAAGGTTTTTAGGGTTATGTGAAGGAGGGTGGAGCAAGTCGGGAATGGATAAGTAAAGGGTAGAACTGGGAGCTCTTATATACGTTTCAAGCAGTGAACAAGCGAGTTGCTTGCTAACCATACTGCTAATCTTTTTTTTTGATAAAATCTATGAGCATTATTAGTCTTTAGAATTCTGAATTCAAAGAGAATTTATAGCTGTTAGAAGCAAAAGGGATCTAATTGTTAGTCTGAGTCTGCAGGAAAGGGGTGAAGCCAAATCACTTATGGCGGGTTCCAAAGTTCATTCTGAGTATAATTATTGAAAAACTCAGTCATCTTCAACCCCAAATAATTCTCAAAACAACTCTATATTCGTTCACCATCAGTCGCAATCTCTCTTCTCTCTTTTTTCCCAAATTCTTGTCTCCAAATGATGCTAACGGCTCGAGTGTCGTTCTCCTAAAGGCAAATTTAGTGCATTCGTTCGCTTTCACTTACATGCTCTCAAATGGCCAAGCGATTAGGGTTTTTCCCTAAGAGAAAGCCCTAATGCATAGCATAGTTACCCGCGTTGCTGTGCGTCTAAATGTTTTCCTGTTAAAGAAAAACTTTCATTTGCTGTGCGTAATGTTTTCCTGCCAAAGAAATCGTTTAAGTTTTTTCCTTTGTGCATTTGCATGAGCTTGACTTGCTTGTTCAAAGAGTCAATGCTATTCAATCCGTGATGGGTTAAGCTATAAGAGTCAGTTTTATCCACCGTTACTAACAAACAATCGGTGGTTTTTGGCTATAATTTGGATGTATGAATCTAGATAAGTCATGCCTCACTATTTAGACAACATTATAGCACATAACCAAGCACATAACCAACAATTTTAAGCTGGTAAAACCAAATTTCATGCAAAATTATAACATAGTCTATTTGTTTATGAACACGGAGGCTTTTATCTCTTTGTTGAAAAACTTATAATTTTCTTTTCTTTGTGAATGTACAAAATTTTTACTTATTTTGTGAGCCACTCTTGTCTTTTTTCTTTGTGGGACAACATTTTCTTTTAAAATGCATCCCCTCCTACGTTTGCGTGCCGAAAGCAATTTTTTGCCCTTCTTTACATTTTTCCACATCGAAAATCATCAGCCTCAAACTTTTGCAGCTACATATCTTCCAGAGGCGGTCCCAAGACTTTCGTTTGGAAAGGGAAGGAGGGGGGGAGGGGAATTTTTTGTACGTCGGCCGCGAAAGCATAGAAAATTGGGGCGTGGCGACAGCTGAGAAATTTATCTACAAAACTACTTATTCCATTTTGAATAATTCAAAACATTATTTGCAGGTGTAACCAATTTACATGCACATTTTCATGACTCACTTATGTAACTTTCGAAAATTTCGCGACTTATTCCCCCCCCCCCCCCATCAGTCCGCCACTGCTATCTTCGTATTTATGATTAGTTTGGATGAACAGAAGGCGTCATCCAAGTTTGTTGTGAAAATCTTCTCGATGTACCATACACTACCAAAGAAAAGCTACATGATTGGCCGGATCCAAAGTAGCCAATGGCGGTTATGTATGCTGCAAGATTTGCTGAGCTTTGCCCAGTAATATTTTCCAACTCGTATATTTCTAAATTTTGCATTATTTTTTTACAACTCCCTTCAAACAACTCTTGGATTCGCTTTCGTTAATCACTATGTGCTCTTTACGTTCTTTTGAAAGTAATTCTGCCTACACCGAGAGATCTTCTTTTATCAATCCTGTAGCGCATCTGTCCGTGCGATTCATATGGATTCAAATGCACTCTTATGGAGGCAATTAGGAGCATTCAATGTTTCTTGACAGAAAAAACATTCTTCAATATCTCTAAGCGTTCTGTTACATATGTTGAACACAATTTTCCATAGTTATATAGTCATTCATCCGTCTGACATCATCACCGATTATAAAATCAGAATCATCGTATTTGAGTAAATCCAAGCCACAAGTTATGTTTTTTAAGCTGATTTTACTGCTAGCATTTTATCTAGAGTCAAGCATCATTATAACGTTAGCAGTCAAGCAAATTCAGTTACCCAATCCGTATCTGACGAGCTGGTGCGGCTGCAGAGATTTTTTTGGTTCGGGGAAAAAGCGCAAGAAAATTTGTCTGCTGGACTTGAAGGAGTTTTTTTTTTTTTGAAGAAAAAATTTGTTTATAAAGCTATTTGATTCAAAAGAGTTAGTTTAGTAATGGACTAGAGAGAACTAATCTTCACTTCTATGAACCACCGTTAAAGATTTTGAGACTCGCACAGAAAGTTTCAATCCCGCGTAAAATATAATGTTTAGTTCTAATTCCTAAACCATAATTGGACCAATTTCGTCAAAAGTTTTCTTCTTTGCCCTCTTTTTCTTTAATTCCAAGGCTGCCTATGTATAAAACACAAGGTGTAAGAAGCAGAAAGCATTATTTTCTTTGTAAAAAAAATATCAAATAAGATCACATGTCGTATACGCAGATACTACAAAACTGCTTTAACATTTGAAAGAGGAAGAACGGGTTGCGTGGGTTTCCCCGTGTTTATTGTAAAAAAAACCGTCAGTCTTGTGGAGCAATTTTTTTGGAAAATCACGAGTACATCGCTGAACTGTTGACATTCCAGCAATCTACAAGATATCCTTTCGAAAATGTTTCTTTTTTCGATGTAATTATTGTTGATAATGTTAAGATCCAGAAAATTTTTGCATTAGGCATTCATTCCTCTTACGAAATAAGGAGGGTCCCTCGTTCATAAGAGGGTTGCAAATGTCATCAAAGTTATAACACTGTTATGCGCAAACCAGTGGCTGCCCCAGGATTTCGAACCGGGGGGGAAGGGGGAGACAAAACATTTTCTTGAATGAAGGTGCGTGGTGTTAGCCGCGCACTCCGAAAACATTTTTGGGGTGCTTCCCAAAATTTTTATAGGCCCATGACCCCAAAATATTAGAGAAAGGGGGCTGGCGGCAGCCACGCTCGCGAAAAAAGTATTTTTGGGGTTTAAATTGAATTTTTAAAAAATCTAAAATACCTATTATTCTAAGGATTTACAAGTCTAAACAAGTCACCTGCACATATTTATAACGCATATAAGTAACTTTCAAAAATTTCGCGCCCCTCCTCCCCCTCCCCCCGCACTTCCCCCTCTGACCGCCACTGGCGCAAGCAGTTTTTTGCTTCCACAATCACAAAATCTTCTCAAATCTTCTATGCTCCATTGTAAAAAAAATTCATACAGGCGTAACTGTCTCGATTTCCTTTTTAATGAATTTTTTAAAATAGAAGCAGAAGGAGCTCTCAAAAATTGAAAATTCGCTTATGCTGCTACTGACGAAGGCGCAATATCTTTGGGCGTAAACGCGGCTTTATTAGCCGCACAGCGCATGAGACGCAGAATCAACGGCGAAGATACGCGCGCGCCGCGTTCGCGCCCGCTCAACTAATACTGCTTCTGCGCCTTCGTCATGCAGCAGACATTAACTTTACATTTCCACTCCTCGCTGGACGACTTCATAAGTAAGCTAAATTCATCTATAACAACCGCACTTATCGGATTTCCCCGATTTGAGAAAAAAATTCAAATGTTCCTCTTTTCATCTTTTTCACATTTTTTTCATCTTCATTCGTTCAAATCTAGCTACGACATAAAGCGTTCAAATGTCCCGCTTTTTTCTCAAAAATAAGCTTTCCTCATTTACGCTAAGCGTCGACTCGACATGATGTCATTGCTTGCAATCGGGCGTGCCAAAAAACACTCTCTATTACAACATAGATGGTATTACGTATGTTCGGTTCGTTCTAATGGAACATCTGTGTAAGAAAAATCTAAAAACTCGATGTTTCTCACATTTCTCATTTGGTGGCGCGGGAATTTTCTAGAATTTTCTCCATTTTCTCCGTCATGCACTTCATCATAGACTTTTTTTGCTTGTGAAAATTTTTTTTCAACTCAGGCTTCCAACTGAGACTACTGCTTGATTCTATTGTTCTCTACAAATCACATGGGAACTGTACAAAACTTTAGTAATGCCATGATCAGTATTTTACAGTAGGGATGTACTTCATGCCACAAGCTCAAAATTTAATAAAAACTATCGCTGGTGGAAAGTTTCAACTCAGCAAAAAAACTCTGCGTCTCTCTTTGACGCACTGAGACAAAAAAAAAGCTTGTCACCGTTGACAAAAAATTCCTGTAACATAATATGGAACAAATGCACGAAAAAACTGAAGGAAAACAGATAGCTCACGCGAAAATCATGCCTTATAAAAGCAGATTCTTGCTCGAAGACAGCAGTTCGTTTTCATCAAAATTCAAATATGCATTATCATGATTATCCTTCTCTGCACGGAATACCTCTGAGTTTCTATATCACACCAATCAAAGCTTCGGCTGTGTTCAGAGTTGTCCGTGCCAACGCCGGCCTCGCCCCATATTGATCGATGTTCGGCACGGTGTTGGCACAGCACCGGCACACTGCAACACAGCACTGCCACAGAAACTTCTTTACATTGAACAATCAGGCATCAGCCGGAAGAGCTTACTTTACTTAGGTGTGTAGGCACAAGCCGGTGGCTTGGTCACGCTTCTTATAGACTTTATGCAAATCACTTCTTATTGCTTGAAGTCCCCGTGAAAGCCAAAGGGTTCCGACTTATTCCTGCGAAAAAAACTCAAGTTTATTGCTCATCTCTTCCAGGCACACTGAGTTCGATCGCTTCGTTGTCGTTCAGCCAAAAGCAGGCGCTCACTGCCTCATGGCGCCTGCTGCGCCCACAAGCGCCAGCTCTGTTTCGAAAAGTTCTACTGGAATTGGAGATTGTCTCGAGTAAAGTAAAACAGGTGAGTTGTAAATAGCTAGCTAAAATGAAAAATCGGAGTTTTTTTGGCTAAATCGTACAGCAATTTACTAATTGAAAGCAACTCAGTAAACATCTAAAGCAGGACGAAGGCGCAGAAGCAGTATTAGTTGAGCGGGCGCGAAGGCGGCGCGCGCGTGTCTTACCCGTTTTGAACCCTGCGCCTCATGTTCTGCGGCTAATAAAGCCGATAAAGCCGCAGAACGCTCAAAGATATTCGCCTTCGTCATGTAGTAGTCTATATCTCTTCTAATTTGAACATTAAGTTGTTTTTTGTATCATTTTATAGATCTGGGAGATATAAAATGTCTACAGAACACATTTCAAGTTTTGAACCTCCTGGCGAGATTGTTCACGCGCAAATGTTGTTGGCACCGCAGTTGCATTCTATGAACCTTATTTAGCAGCTTATAAGTATCGCAACATGTCACGGCATATACAGGGTTTATCAAACGCAGTGTCGCTTGCATCAGCATCTCCGCTCCCGCGCTGGACTCTGCGTCTCTTTCGCGAACATGCTCTCTAATCACTTCCGATCGTTTGAAACTCCGTCTTTCCCACGCTTGCTCTGGGAAAGTGCTCAGAGAGCATGTTCGCGGAAGAGACGCAGAGTTTTCAGCGCTGGAGTGGAGATGCTGATGCAAACGACACTGCGTTTGATAAGCCCTATATGTACAGAAGATAAACCTTTACTTTTTTCATTAGTAGTAATTTTATGCGCTAAACTTTGTGCAAGTTGACAATCAAATTTCAAGTTTCCTTTTGACGAAAAAAAGGAAGAAAGTGATATCAAAATGTACAGAGAGTAAATTGTACTCTAAGGCCCGTATGCACGTACATCCCCGCGGAGAGGGGAGGGGATCTGAGAGGGGAAGCGTCATATTTCGCTAGTCTACATATCTTTCTCCTTCTTTCTCTATCTTGCTTATGAAGTTTCTCATACACTGATACCTGCGCATAACGGATGCCAGGTTACTGCTATACGAGATTAGATATTCACTATCTCGTCCGATCCCCTGGGGATCCCCAGGGGATCACCTCACATTTTTAAGGTCATTTATCTTCCTGAAAGAGCAATGAAATCGCTGCAAAATTGTACTGAAGGTATACTAGGATACTGCTGAGCATGTTTTCTACAGAAGAAATGGAATCTGTAGGTTTTGATTTTTTCGATAATCCCTGGCTCGCGAGCAGCGGTTCATCGAAAATTTTGATATCTTGAGATTTCACTCATCTCTACCATAAACATGTTTAGCAGTGCTGTAGTATATCCTCAGTACAATTTTAGAGCATTTTCATTGCTTTTTCAGGAAGATAAATGACCCCTTAAAAATGTGAGGTGATCCCCTGGGGATCCCCAGGGGATCGGACGAGATAGTGAATATCTAATCTCGTATAGCAGTAACCTGGCATCCGTTATGCGCAGGTATCAGTGTATGAGAAACTTCATAAGCAAGATAGAGAAAGAAGGAGAAAGATATGTAGACTAGCGAAATATGACGCTTCCCCTCTCAGATCCTCTCCCCTCCCCGCGGGGATGTACGTGCATACGGGCCTAAGAATGTTCCAGATATTCTACAAAGCACTCTGTGTGGATGCATTCAATAAAGACGAGGAAAATCTTGCAACTATGGACGCACATATCAAGTTGATGGTGAAGTGAGTGCCTGCGTTTGTCTTCTATTTTTTACACATTAGATTTCTGGATTTTTTCACAACAGATTGCATGTAAGAAAACAAGGAATTATGGGCTTTTCTGCAGGTTTTTCGATGACCTACTGGCAACGCTAGAAGACGAAACTGAATGCACAAATCGTATGAAACAAATAGGCACAGCACATGCTGTTCTAGCAAGGACATGTGGATTTTCAAGGTATTTAATTTTACAGATTTTCTTGGAAGTGCTCTAACAATTATTTTTCCCTGACGTACACACTCATGCATCCATAGTTTACTTGCAAATCTATATTTTTTGGGCAACTAGTCTTAGGAGCACTCAAAATAGTACCCAAAATTTGGAAGTGTCTCTATTTTCTATAGTAACTATAATCCAGTATTCACGAGAGCATAATTTGCAAGATTTGTGTGACTGCATTTCTCTCCCAAAAGATTGTTTCTTTTTTTTATCTGTACGTGGTTTTGTTTTAGCGATATTTGGGAACGGCTTGGTGAGATCGCTATGGAACGTATCTGCGCTCACGAAGTTGTACAGGTCAGTTAGATTTGCGAAAATTTGAGTCTACAAAAATTTACTATTTTTTGGTTTTCAGAAAACCCGAGATGCGGCTCGAGCTTGGCGAGTATTATTAGCATGTATTATCGACGAACTTCGTAGTGGTTTCGACGTAGAAGCTCGCTATTATAGGTGAGCAGTGATGAAGTTTGATTATGAGCTTCTCTGGAGATTATTTGCTGACAAGGAAATGATCAGAGATCGAAGCGGCCTATAAGCAAGTGCATAAAATGAGATGTAGCATAAAACGCTGAGTCTAGATCTGTCTTCTTTATCTGTTGAACGCTTTTGTGAATGAAGTTATAAGCCTTCAAAACCATTATTTTGCTTGGAAATCGTGCGTTTAAAGGGCGGATTGAGCTTACAGAACCATGTTCGACTCAACACTGGACCAAAACATGCAACTAGGTTACTTCATTTGGCCCATACTCAAAGTGAACTAAAGGGACAATAATGTGCTTGAATTCGCAGTTTTTATGTACGAATTTTTGCAGTAAAACTGCTCATAACTTTGCCTACGAATGCGTTCAGCAGATACGGAAGAAAGATTTGAAGTCAGCGTTCTCTGCTGCATCGAATGGCATGCACCTTGTTTGGATTGGCCACTTCGACTTCTGACCATTCCCTTGTGAGGCAAATGTCTCCGCAAAATGTTCCGCAAGCAGATGCGATGGCCTTGCATGGAGCTTCTGATAGTGTTAGTTTGGGTTCTGGGCGCGAGGGTGGCAAATAGACATAACGAATTCGCCTTTGTCATTTTAGATTTTACCGATTGTCTACTTGATCGCGCCAGCTGCGTATGTTGCTTAATTGGAGCTCGTTTTCCTCTTAAAGACAGTATAGTCACTATTCCGGATCCTAACAAGGAGGAAAGGAGGAGTTTCAAAATCAAAATATTACTACATAGTGAACTTTGGGGTAGTTGGTTGCAGACGAATCTACGCAGATCTATGGGAAAATTATGGCACCCTTAGAGTGGCGTTAGGATGGCAGTTTCCCACTAATTTGGGAAACACTCAAGCATGCTCTTTATTCACATAAGCTTTGATGATTATTCGTACTAGCTTAGCCCCACTACGCGTATACACACCAAATTTCGTGCTATATCGTCATCTGTTCTTACAAATAAGTCTTTTTCCCATTTTTCGGTAGTTGAAATTTTCAGAAACAAAATTGCCACAACCTTCAGTCATTTTCTGTTAAGCAATACACACCCAGTATAGGATCCTTTGGTTGCGAAGTCCTTTGCAGTATTTAGGGTGGTCGATTTTGGGAAAATAAACCCCGCGCCTTGTACGCGGTGAAATTAGGGTACTGTTATGAAAAAATTCTTGATTTTTGAAGACAACGCGCGAGAAAAACCGTTTTTGCATGTCACTTTCAAGAGTTGTATACATGTAAACATAGATTTGCGAAAACCCTTTGCTTTTTTCCTAAAACGATTTTCAGCTTGACATTTGCCATCCTCGTCCTAGGCCCTGTGTTAGGTGGTGCAAATTGGCATACAGCCTGTGTTAAAGGCGTTGTTCAGGTCAACTTGGGGGTACTGGGATCTTGACACAGTGTGAGAGCACGGATCCTGGCTATCGCAACAGTTCAAGTGCGATCGAAAAAGGTGGAATCTGAAGAGAGAAAATCGCTCCGAACGAGTTTGTAAAAAAGGGGGCGGTACTCCAATCCCGCCGCCCCCTTGATAAGTTTTGACGTGGCGAATGCTCAAGATCTAGTGTATTGGCCACGTCAAAACTTTTCAAGGGGGCGGGATTGGAGTACCGCCCCCTTTTTTCCAAATTCGTCCGAAGCGATTTTCTCGCTTCAGATTCCACCTTTTTCGATCGCACTTGAACTGTTGCGTTAGTCAGGAGCCGTGCTCTCACATTGTGTCAAGATCCCAGTACCCCAAGTTGACCTGGACTATGCCTTTAAGCGCGCGGCCTCTTTCCTTCGGCGCAGTGGCCACACTAGAATTTCGGGCTGCGTTCGCGCGCGCGTCGCTTGAGCGATCGATTTTGCCTCATCCGCAGCACGCAAGACCCAGCGTTGCTAATGCGTGGTTAGGCAAAATAGTTACGCAATTGAACATACTAAGAGCATTTTTTCATAACTTTGGCAAAGAAAGGGAGTACCCAACCAAACATACTGTAATCCACTTTTTTGTAATTATGGCATTTCAGAAAAACCTCGTCCGCGGATCAACTGGATGAAGTGGAAAACGTTGATAGCGAAGAGACAACCGAATCCAGCACGATTCAAGAGAAAATGCGGCAACTACGCTTGGAATATGACTCGACAGTGCCTTACGAATAAAGAGGCCGTGCGCATGAGCTATTTGTTGCACCAGCCGCTTTCTCTCCTTTTCCTACTCTTTGTAATAACCTAGTCAACCGATCTCATCAATCTACATATGACACAGCTTCTTTCCTTTTTTCCTCACGTGCTCACCAAGATTCTTTTCTTCCCGCAAAAAATTTTGGTCATCTCAGTTATGACTACCTAAACAGCAACATACACATCATTCTCTTGTTGTTCTCTCGTGATCACCTCGCTTTTGTACTGCTTGCACATTATTTTCTGGGTCGCAGTATCATAATCGCATTCTGCGTGTGATATTATGTTTTATCTGCACATCTTGTATATGTTTTCCATGTAACTACTTCATGCATATAAATATTGTTCGTCTGTCATAAACAAAATTGACAACAAGTTTGGATTCTCAAAATGAATGAATTAATGACCATTGTGCTTTTGCTTTGGTGATTTCAAAAGCATGCCGAAGATAATGAACGGGCTTGCCTTGAATCCTAGAAATATTTTTTTGTAACTCAGTGCATACGCATCTTCATGGATAAGACAGTATAGAAAATTTACTCTTCCAAGATCAAGTTCACTTTGGCAAAGAACTATATCCTAGTGAGGAGCCGCAAACATTAGATAGAAAGTGTTGTTGTTTGAAGCCCTTGCACAGCACACTCTCCTATGCTCGTCTTACACAACACCTGAACTCCAGAACATCCGGGTACCAATGGTGTTTTTTGGTCCATCAGCTTGACGCATACACCCCTACTCGCGTGACCTAAAATTGCTGCACTTGGCTAGATTATTCGCTTTTATCTATATCACACAAGGCATTTTTCATTGTAATAAATAATCTACTCGACTACTAAACAAAAAAAGGAAAATCAGGAGACGACTGCTGCCGATGATCCGTACATATATTTTCCACAATGTTCAGGTTCGACCACATAGTACTCGTCTTCCAGAACGCGCCCTTCCTGTACTTCCGATGTCATTCTCATCTCATCAACGAATTTCAACATTGATTGTGAATACAACAAACCAAGATCACACAATGCTCAACTATATTCAAAATCCATCTGTATAAGCTTACTGGGGATGCCTCCAAGCAGAACAATATCTATAAGATGATAACCAGTCATGAAATGAACTCGAAAAAATGCACGGTGTGCTCTCTTACGGCTATGTGCACTTGACCCGCAACCAGAGATGCGATAGTCGCAGCCGAGTCTCCGCCTACCTTCACTTTTGAGCTGGTACGGGGTAACCACCTTCACTTTCGAGTTTGAAAAAAATTTTTGCTGAAGCTTAAGAGAAGGGAAATAAGCAAAAGAACCACGAAAGAAAGTATTGAGAGCATATATCTACGTAGTAGGTAGATCTAGGCAGTAACCGCCGATAACCAGAATTTCGAATGATAAAATAGCGAAAAAATCATGCGAAATTTCCACTGTTATAAATCCGGTGGTTGGAGATAACAGCAATTGCGATTTCGTAGATTTTGAAGGACAAGTGTTGTTCTACCAGACAGTGAAAGAATTAGATCGATCTGAGCAGTGATCGCCGAGAACGAGAATTTTAAATAATTTAGGGATTTTAGGTTACTTAACGACAGCTGGCGTTTAGACTCCTATAAATCTGAAATGTGAAGGTATGCAATGTTGCGACTTCATAGATCTTGTAGAGTAAGAATTGCTCTATCGGAATATGTTTTAGCCGTACCGATCCACCAAGATACCGCGGAGATTCAGGCTCTTAAAAAAACAGGTAAAAAACCGTTTTTTGAACTTCAACAGCTCATAACTTCTTAAGAATTGCACGAATCATGTTGCGACTTCATAAGTTGGATTCTCCTTTAAAAGAGCTTTCAGATGATATATAATATGTGGGGAGTTCAATGATTTTTGCGGCCCTAACCCGGGGTGGAGACTTTTTACCCCAAAGTCTCCACCTCGCCCATGTTAATGTATTGGCCGGAGACCGCTAGTGGAGACTTTGGGGTGAAAAGTCACCACCCCCGGGCATGTGCCGTGAGGGGCGCGAAACCCCCACATATTATACATCATCTGAAAGCTCTTTTAAGGGAGAATCCAACTTATGAAGTCGCAACATGATTCGTGCAATTCTGAAGAAGTTATGAGCTGTTGAAGTTCAAAAAACGGTTTTTTACCTGTTTTTTTAAGAGCCTGAATCTCCGCGGTATCTTGGTGGATCGGTACGGCTAAAACATATTCCGATAGAGCAATTCTTACTCTACAAGACCTATGAAGTCGCAACATTGCATACCTTCACATTTCAGATTTATAGGAGTCTAAACGCCAGCTGTCGTTAAGTAACCTAAAATCCCTAAATTATTTAAAATTCTCGTTCTCGGCGATCACTGCTCAGATCGATCTAATTCTTTCACTGTCTGGTAGAACAACACTTGTCCTTCAAAATCTACGAAATCGCAATTGCTGTTATCTCCAACCACCGGATTTATAACAGTGGAAATTTCGCATGATTTTTTCGCTATTTTATCATTCGAAATTCTGGTTCTCGGTGATTACTGCCTGGATCGACCTACTTTATTCGCAGTACGTTATAACAAAATTTACTTAATAAAATACGTGAAGTCTAACTGGATTTTACTCACAAATAGACCATTCGAATAACACGTTTGTCTCTTTTTTTAAATTTTTATGCCACTGTACTCGTCGTATTTGTGGCCCTGAAGAGGGCCGTCAGGTCACACTTGTTGGCCCTGAAGGGGACCGTTGGGTCAGAGTTCTTCAATTATCCGAAGTCCCCCCCCCGGTCGACGTTTTTGAGAGGTGAGTGTCTGGCACTACCACCTTCACTTTTGGCCGGCCAGTGGTAGCTGGAACCACCTTCACTTTTGGGGGGCCCGGCTCCACCTATCGCACCTCTGCCCGCAACATGCGTAGCAGAAGAGGTCAGGACAAAATGCAGTAGCGCACTCGTTAACAGCGACAACCAGCACTCTCGGCCTTCGTGTGGCGATGAGTAGCTTGCCTGCAAGTCTCGAGGTCACTGAAAACTCGAGGAGCTTGAATTAGCATCGCGGATTATTATTTTGAGAATTGCGAGTAAGAGTATAATTTTTTTGGCTCCTACCTGCGTACAATTACATGAGTAATGAGAATAAATAAACTAACGAGTAGTGAAGTACATATGATAGACTTTTTGCGGTTTGTATAACATAATCAGAAGGCGGAAAGAAATATGACATGAGATTCAGGCTCAAACATTGCTAATCGAGCTGGAAATTCAGTAATGGTCGCTGATGACTTGTCGTTATCACAACGAGGCGATGGGCTCCGAAAATCCTAATCGCGTCAAATCTTGACATGTGCTTCCGCAGCCCATTATGTCCTTAGTTAAAAGAACTACTACAGTATGTCGCATTACGCAGGTTCAACTTGGAAGAGAAGTACAGAGTAATCAGAAGAGTAATTTCATATTGTAGTTAGAGAATTAGCAAATTGATACTGCAACATGCAGGATAACAAGAAGGGGAAGAGCCACGATGCATAGAACGCCTGAGGATATGATATCTTACCAGGTTGTTCCAAAATCAATGCAGGTCGTCTCCTGTTGATGCCCCTTCTTATCACCAATTTCGCATTTTATCTGAGAGCGCTATGTACTTTGTCTGATATTCATGTGGTACACAAAAAATGCACTAGAGGGGAAAATGATAAGAACTTGAACAAAGTACCCCGGTCAAAGCGGTCGCAGATATAAGTGTAACAGCACACTGAAGAAACAAACCGAAAGCTTAGACTCACCAGAATAATGCCGATTTGCGCTCGCGCTCGCAGCGCTAGCGGTCTGCGCTGCATGTGCGCGCTGTCGGAGAGAGCAAAAAGATTGAAGAGAGGACAAAGCAGGCCGTGGGCGTGACCGGCGAAATCCTAGCGACGCGGTCTCCCGCCATGCCATTTTGGCCTGGTTGGAATTGGGGCAAACTGTACGTCATCTTGTTATTATTGAGCAAATAAGACCTGCCCAGAATGAAGAAGTGAGCTAGGATTCCGTTATCCAAGCGCTGCAACAAGCAGCAGCAAAATACTGTAAGCCCCACCATTTATAGTTTCTCCTAACTAATTTCGCATAGCGGAAAGTTTGAAAAGGAAGATAATTTTGAATTATTGTTGAAAGCAATCAAGATGTTCTGGTCTAAGTTTTAAACAGTTTAGCTCTTTTAGAAAACAGTTGAAAGGCTTTTATGTGAGCACAAATGTTCCTATACCTCACCGGAAATGATTTCGAAAAAAAGTTATAATGGAGTAAAACGTGTCAATTTCTCATGACATTTCTCATGTGATGGGGAGGCAGTCCTTGTAGAATCTTTGAAAAATTGTTCTGGGACTGTAAAACGTATTTTATGAGAGCCTTTAAAATGAGTCCGGATAACGGAAAAGTACCTTTGTTCTATATAAAGTTCGAAGCCGAAATCTAAGAAGAGTTTTGAGAAAAAACCAGATCTCCGTTCAAAAATTCCTACGGACCTCCTACTTTCTCAGGCATGTACTCTCTACATCTGATATCGGGTACTCTCTATTTCTGATATCCTCTTTGATTTAGTCGTCTAACTCTTTATTTTCATTTAGAATGGTCGGCTATTCGTTGTATCCTAAATAGTTTAGCAAAAAGCGGGTTTTGACGTTTGATAAACGGGTAAGAATGCTAGTTGCCATTGCATCTCACTTATGCGTATGTCCTTGTTGTACCAAAGACTCAAATTCATTTAAAAGATGCAGCGTGGCTTTGAAAGATAGCTTGTAATAAGGAAGCAATGAAGGTAAGCAGAAAAACAAAATTCCGGCATCACCAAAGAAACAGCTCACAGTAACGGCTAAACAACCCGTACCAATTTAAGGTAAGGTAGGAGAGCATCTACAGAGACAAAAAATAAGTCACACAGAAAAAAAGTTAAATAAGTCGAGAGATGGAAAAACTTGTCCCAAATCTTAAAGAACTTACCTTTCGACAGCGATGCACTTTACAATGATATTGTAAAAGCTATAATACCCTCTGCTTTATGAAGATTTCTGATAGGCGTAATCTTGCTGCTGACGACTTCTCTTACGTCGTCAAGCTAGTCGCCATAACATTTTCTTTTCCCAAGACTAATTCCTTTGCGGCTCCAGTCATGTTTTTCAAAGCTATCATATATTCTTCACAATCTTTCAAATTTCACAGCTTCATCGTTCGCACTGTTGCACAATGTAGGTACGTTGCTATGGGTGGCGGCGTAATTCTGAATAAAATGATTTTTGTTGTTCTTCATCTGTGTCATACGGTCCATTTCTATGCCCTAAAATTTGGGTATTTTTCCGTTATCCGGACCCACTTTTTCAAAAGGCTCTCATATTATACGTTCTTTAGTCTAGAAATAATTTATCATAGATCCTAAGAGGACTGCTTCCTTGCCACGGAAAAATTGACAGTTTTGGTCCATTTTGACGTGTTTTTTTTTTCGAAATCAACTCCGGTGAGATAATAGAGAATCTGTGATCATTTTAAAGCTGTTAAAATGTTTTAAATAAGAGCAAAAGAATAATGAACTTATTTTAGAACATCTTGCTTGCTTTCAGCACTAATTCCAAAATATTTCTTTTCAAACCTTTCGCCATGCGAATTCAACCGAAAAGACTATAATTGAAGCTTGAAGTACCTTGCTGCGGCTTATTTCGCCTCTTAAATGACCAAATCCTAGCACACTTCTCTATCAGCAAGTCTAGTCTGTTCACTGATAATAGTTTATCATCATTATTATGACACTGTTCATTTTGAAACTGTCTGATCAAATGAGGTCAAAATTAATTAAAAAAACAGATTGAAACTACATCGCTAGGTGGGGTAACACAAATTCTTGGTGAAACCTGTTAAACATGTAGACGACATGTCAAATTTTTTTGACACGTGGCAGAAGGTTGATACTGCTTCCTGTGAAGCTGGGGCAAAATATGGTACAAGGGTGCAAGCAATATCTTTCTTCAAAAAAAAATGGGTCCGGTTAACGGAAAAGTACCGAAATTTGTCCTGCTTTATCATGAATATTTGTAGGATTTTCCAACTGTGCTGATCCCTCTGCTTCACTCCCTCGTCCATGTCAACGGACCATTTCGTCTGTCCCCGATTCATCGTCACTGCTGTCAGTGGCTTATGCATTAGTAATGTCATCTGCCTTTCGGCAGCATATTCGCCTATGATTCGACAGTTTTGCCGATAAAAAAGGTAGATTACATTTGTTCAAACCCACCTAATTGACCATAAATAGATACCGTTTGTACATAGTAGCAATTTATTCCATTTTTCACAAGTAGCGTGCATGTGCACAAACTCGTAAGGGCACGCGTTACATCCTCTCTTGCAGTGATTGTTGCGCTAAAAATTAACCCATAAAGGAACAACCACACCACATTGTACTATTATTACTCGGCTGCCGCAAGGACAGCATTGTTTTTGGACAAGGGATCTTAATTCATTGTCTTGTATCTCTTAACGTCTGTTGTCTGAGGGAATGATGTGGTCTTCTTTATTGGCGTATATCTCGACTGCAACTGCGTGATTTTTGTAATGTCCACGTAGTCGAAATTGGCCTTCCTTTGATCCCCTTTCCATTTGGAATCGAACATATACACTCTTGAAATTACTTTAGTCATGAAGTACCGCAATTTTTCCCTTTTCTTTAATTCCCATCGTAAGCTCAATAAGGATATAAGTCTACCAATGCAGACACTGGCGTTGTCCATGCCATAAGCATAAGATTTTTTGAATGAATATATGGAACACTTCCAAAAATCCATTACAGAAACAATTTGTATGGTCGGACATTGGAAAATCACTGTGAAAAAACGAAGTTTCTCATCTCCGTAAAAAATCTTGATTTCTGCTTCGGTCATTTTAAACATTATACAATGTAAACTTAGTTCAAAAACTCCACAAACCTATAGGCCAGTAGATAGGCTCCGGGGAGTGCTTTATCCAACTCATCGGCAACAATAACAGTTGCAAGTCTGCGTCAATATGCGGTGAGACTGAAACTATCGTCAATGCATATTGCCCTCCTTCCATATCTACGAAGCCATTCAAACTGTCTCGGGTTGATTATCACTGAACACATAATTGTAACCTATTTTAGAGCTCTAATGTTAGTACTATTACAGATCCATCTTCGCTAGGCTCCTCTGCTGCACTATAATACCGTATTCCATCAGACTCATTGTGCAAATCGACTCTCGTCTGCCTGATACGGTATCGATTTGATGCAATTTCTCGAGTTGCACCAAGAATTTCGCGGCAATAATCCTGTAGCTGAGCGAGCACATTCCCATAGGGAAGCCTTGTACCTGATATCACGCGTAGTGGCGAAGTAAAAACAATGTTTTGGCCCACTTCGTAGCCTTTCGCGGAGTGTACGGTACTTGACCCTGACTCTGACACCTTCCGATGATAGTGATGAGATGTACTCTCGCGAAGACTCACTCAGCTTGAGCACTGAGGCCTGCTCCTCGTGGATATGTGTGGAAGAATGTTCCAACCTTATTTGGTTTTCGTTTTCAACAACCTGCAACACTATATGTCCTGCAAAACTGAGGGAATTACCATGCATACCTTCTTATAGGCAGTACAGTAGGAAACAATTTCTTGGCTTTTTCCGTCACCTTCAGACTTGAAGGCGCGATTGCACATCATGTAGGTTGTCCTCATATTGCTGCTGTTGTGCAGTGGATATACTTTGTACTCAGAAGTTTCATCAAAGTTAGGCATTTTTACAAGCGTTTGCGGCATCAAAATTCTATCTATCGTAAAAACTGCCCCCCCCCCCTCCCCCAAACATTAAAAGAAACAAAGCACAAATAGGTCCCAGTCCTCCTGTTCTTCGTTGATGCGTTCAGAGAACATGAACCTGAGATGTATTTAATGTTTTCTGTTGCATCACTTCCCATAGCGTCTTATGGGGTAGTATATTTTTGTTGAATATTGAGCAGACTACAAAATTCTCGAAAAATGAGAAGTGAAACTTGAAGTTTGGTCAGAAATTAGTTCGGTTATTGCACTGTATTTAGAACGCATTCTGTGAAAATGCATGAGCACTTGTGACGGCTTTTGCATCAGGTAAAGGCGTAAAAGTCACGTACCTGGTAAACCAGATGACGATGTTTAAAATGTACTTGTTACATCTGTCGTAGTTTTGAAAAGTCCGCATAGATCGAGTCCAACTTTGGCAAAAGCGGTTTCGCTGTAAAATCTCTCCTCTGACTCTGGTGTCATACCGCGGCTGTTCCATCCTTTGTCGTGCAGGCACCGTCCTCATATCTGCAACCCTCCAATGGTCCTATCAGACTTTCGAGCGTTGAGGATCCATGATATCCATGCACCATAGCCTCTCTTGGCCTGAAGTTGTCGGTCTTAATCTTCTTATTGATTGGGCTCCGGTGTCGTACTTCTCGTCAGGTCGGCCTATGGAACGAATATGTGTAGCACTGGATGGTAGACCAAGTTGTTGTCGACTGTTTATTTGTCGAGCGCTTCAATGTCCGCTGCTTTGTCCAAGGCATCCTCAAATGTCTTAGGTTAGTGTGGTCTGAATGAAAATTTCAAGTCTGTTCTCAGGCGGTCCAAAACCTCTTCCAGAAGTTTTTCAAAATTTGATTTAGACTAGTGACGCATAAGGTTATGTACTGCCTTTTTATACGCTGACCGAAAGAATAGGCATCTTCGCCTGGCTTTTGCCTACAGTTAGCTAATTCTGGCTATCGTGAAACTGCGGTCTTAATGCAAGCGAAGGAATGAATTTCGTAGCTATTCCTATCTTCAGGTTGCATTTCCTCTATGACGTCGCGCTCCACACCTCTTAGAGTTGCATACAGTGTGTTTACTTTACCTTGCACGGGAAGTGGGACTACGAATTATGCATGATGGCTTCAAACTGACGCTGCCATTCGTTAAAGTCTTGGAAAATTTTCCTCCAAAAAATAATCTATGTGTTTAGGTGCGAGCTTCCGAGGGTAACGCCGCTATAGGCTTGAGACAAGGCATTAACCTCGGTTGAGGACATGCCACCATCGAGTAAAACAGAATCAACTGAACTTACGGTTTCCGATGGGGAAGATTGCGATGATTCGGAGTTATCCTGGGTGGTCGTCCTTGAGCGAGTCGTAATACGAGTGATTTTGTCCAAAATGGAGGCGTCGCTTCTCCAAGAGTCGTCAGCGGTGTAATCGCCACTCGACTGTGAAGATATAAAGAGCTGTGAGTTTGCGATGAAAGCATAAGGAAACGGGCTAGCATGAGTGATACGGGGCTATAGCATGAAGAAAACAAAATGTGCACAAAGAAACGTTTCGCAATCGCGATTTGAATCTCTACAGACTTCGTCGAAAAAGAAACGATAGATTTGGCGCAAAATCAGCGACAGTGGAGTTTGCTATTTGTCCAGTAGTACGATCGAAATAGAGAGCGAGGTTCAGGTGAGATATATTGGAATGAAAAATTTTACCGAAAACATTATCGAATCACAGCACATACGTAAACGACTCAAACAAACGGGATTTTGGAAAAAGATGCTAGAGAGAAACCTGTCAGGGAGATCAGTTTCATGTGGATAAAGACTAGCAACCAAATTAAATCGAGAATGAGTGCAAACAGTGATGTAAAGTAAAATAGACGCACTACACTCAAACTGCAACAAGCGAAAGCGAGCCAAAAAGAACGGTGATCCATGGAGACAACGAACAATTACATGAAAAAACACTCATCTAATCCGATGGATCCATATCGTACGTAGAAATAGCTGGGTAAAGAGGTGATCAATATTTGTTGAAAACTGCCAAGTCGTTGGCCATGTGTTGACAGGTTCACCCGCCTTACCGTTTACTGCTAGCTGCTAGATGTATGTATATACCTATCTAGATACCTGTTTATCCTCGGCGGCGACAGCTTCAATTAGCCCGGAAGGGTAACCCGTTGATAAGCGGAAGATGGCGCAGTGCGATCGAGTCTGTCTCTCACTAATCCAAACAATTTCAAATCCTCTTCTGGGCCGAAGCTTTGCAATCGTTCCAACTCAGGGTTGAGCCAGAGTGCGCCGCGTACGGGCGTACGTGACGTACGCAGCGTACGCTCGGTATATTTCATCATAGGAGCGGACGCGGCGTACGCTGCGAGGTCTGGCTTAACCCTCACTAATGCATGGAATTTCTTTTTTACATGGATATCCTCGCTCATTAATAACTTTCTTGCTAACTGAGATGCGCCGTATCCGTCACTTATGGGAGCTCTTGGCCCTCCTGCCTCTCGCAAACGAAGGGGCGGAGCCCATTATAGGTATAAAAATACGGGGTGTTTTAAAGGATAGATAAGTGTAAGAGCTCCATATCAAAAAGTTAGTGTACAAAAAAGGGTCACTAAAACTGCATTTTCTTTTGCAGTCTCACAATTTATGCAAAATCATACATTTTACTTTTCTAACCATTTGAACTGCTTTTTAATTTCCTGTTCCCGAGGAGATGAGTGAGGAGATTTTGACCAACTGTTTTTTAATGTTTCTTACCTAAAACCAGCGAACTATCCCACCGAAAATAAAATCACAAGAACTAAGAGAAGCGAGCAACTTGAGGAGAAAATCGAGAGTGATTATGAGCCGAGGAAGTGGCCATCTTCTACACTCCGCGCTACTGAAGTTTCTAGTCAAAGTTATCCCGTTCGAGCTTAGGCAGCCGCTATATTCCTCGAGGAGTATAGCATGGCGACGGGCGATTGCAAGTTGCTACGACGGGCGATCGCCCGTCGCCGATACTGGCGACTGTACTTTATATAATATCTCCTCCATGACGAAGGCGGTCGCCCAAATAGGGTGAGAGCATGCAAGGCTGACGCGCACGCGGCGCGCGGACAATTGTCAACCACGGGTTGCGCGCACGCTTGCGTGGATGACCGCTGACCGAGCGTGCGCGCGCCCTGTGGTTGACAATTGCCCGCGCGCCGCAGCCTTTCATCTTTCAACCTATTTGGGCGACTGCCTTCGTCTTGGAGCAGATATTACCTATTGATTGCAAACAAGTTACCACACGTCAAATCGATACATATCAAAAGTGTAGTTGCCGAAAACTTGGCGATCGCCAATCGCTACGACTGGCTATACTGGCGACTGGCGATCGCCAATATCAAAGTTTTTCACCTTCCTTTTTTTGAACTTTCTTAATTTTTTTCTAATTTTTTGCCTCGTTTTTTCTAATGATGAACCTGTTCAGGAATGGATCTGCTTGCAAGTCCAAGTCCACACATGACATTCTTGTTGAAAGCATAATAAAAAGAATCAGACACAACATTTTTCATTCGGAAACCACTATTGCAGGCAATGGTGAGTACCTTAAAATTTTGATGCAATGCACCAGCAGTTTCACGCAGCTCTCACTTTGGATTAATTGATTTCATAATAAACCAATTGAATTTTCGGAGAACAGTCAATATAAATAGACCAAAATAATATGAAGAGATGAATTCTCATATTAAACTCTCATACCGATCATCTTCATCATTATTCTGAAAAATTTTGCGATTCGTTCAACAAAAATAAATCACTTTCGAAAAACTTGGTGTATGCCAGTCTACATGCCATAATTGGGAGCAGCAGTTTGGGTAAATTCTTTAAACTAAGGCTAGAACCTCAACTCTGTTTTGCAGTCAACAAAGTTCCGTTCCGATCTGATCGCATTGGTGGAGGCAGAAAGGGAGCTTTGGGATATCACGTGTGAAGGTTTTCGCATGACCAGCAAAAAAATGAAATGCTGGGAGAGGATACAAAAAGAGCTGTTGAAGAGAGGGCATAAACGGAGCGGTTCGTTCAGAAAAAATCTTAAGCTTCTTAACTACTTCTGAAAAAGATGCAAGCTTAGTGGAAGATATAAAACTAATTTGGTAGAATTTGCGGGACACATACAAAAAAACTCACATCGGCCCTCAGGGTCTGCTGAAGAAAGACCTTGGATCTTTTTGGAGAATATGAGATTTTTGGAAACTATGAAAGTGGATGGGTCTGTTTTGATCGCTCAATGATAAATATGTATCAGAAAATGTATGTAAAAAGTTCCAATTCTAGAGTAAGATTTTCAAACTTGGATGCAACTGACGGTGAAATAGAAGAAGATTCTTGTGATATGTCGAATCATTTGGGTATAGTTCTAATTGTTTTCAAGTGCGAAGCCTGCGTTGCTTCATTCAGCTAATATTCTAAATTGAGAATCATCCCCGAGAAAGGTGCTGGGCAATCTAAGGACCTTAGAGTTGTGGAGAAAACATCAGGAGATAGTAGGTTGGAGGATTGAATTCGCATTCAACAATATTGCTTCATATTTTGAGGTGTCGAATTGTCGTCGAGAAGGGTGCTAGGACAACCTAATTGCCTTAAAGATGCTGTGGAAAAAACATCAGGAAATATTAGGTTAAAGAAGAGATTCAGTATTTAAGAATTGCTTTATAATGTTGAGGTGTTGTCCAAGAAGCTGTTGAAGCTTTTGAAAATAAACTCGAATCAGACTTTGGTAATTCTACTAACAAATTCAATTTGTGAGGTGTTGTCCAAGAAACTATTGAAGCTTTTAAAAATAAACTCGAATCAGACTTTGGTAATTCTACTAACAAATTCAATTTGTTCGGTGAGTAAATGTGTAACCACTCAAATAAGATTGAGCATATATAAGCATTATTTTGGGGACATTTGTCGGTATTTTCCTAAAAGATCTTCCAGAAGAAGATGCACTGGAAAGAATGCGGGCGATTTCGGAGATACTGTTTCTTCCAAAGGGATTCGGGCTGGCAATCAGCCTTTAAATCCCACAAACTAATTTTTTTTAGATTCTGAATGTTGAACGTTGAACGCGATGAACATTTGTTAGAAATGACTTTATCACATGAGAGGACCATATAAGCTATCATAATAAGCAGTGATTCTCTGACGAGCTAGATTTGCAGAATTTGGTCCATTACTTGCGGGAACCATATGGAGGAATTTGCAGAATTTGGTCCATTACTTGCGGGAACCATATGGAGGGGGGGTGCAAGACCATTTGCAGCGAGAGGGTATCGGTGATTTTGCTCATTCCTTTTCCGCCTGAGGTCTAGCAGATTATGCAAATTCTAAAGTAAAATTTCAATCCAAAACCTCTTCTTTTTGTTCTTAAAAGGATTGATTTCACTACCATCGCCGCCTTTACAGATTCTAACTGCATAGGTGTCTGCAAAACTTGAAATCGGCGAACAAGTATGCCAAATACCGATTCAATCATTCTTCTTGCTCTAGAAACTTCGACATTTTTTCTACTTGAATTTTTTCGGAAACGCTAACCCAGAATACTTCTCATTGAATTGCCTTTTACTTCCTGTATTGGCCTGAACCTCGGTAAAGGGCCGGATGAAGCGATGGGCCTGGCCAAAACCGCCATCCACCAATATGTGGTACTGGACAGGTCCAACACCACCCAAGTTCCGAGTTGGCGGAAAAAACCCGTCACTTTCGTCCACCCATCTCTAAAATTTGGTAAATTACATTTGGTTCACGGGCAGAGCCATTATCTTCATTGAGGAGTTTCTGAAAACAGCTGCATCTCCGGCTCTACCGGGTGCTCCAATATCGTACGCGAGTATGCGGTAGTCTGCGTCGCATAACGCCAGCAAGATAATTGAATAGAACTGTCTGTAGTTCCAGTACATGCTGCCGGAATTTTTGAGCCTCTTAATGTAAGTTTCCACTAGTAGAAAACGTAAACCCTAGCATGTCTACCTCAATTCTGATGCGTTTTCCGTCCAGAAAACCACTGCGCGCGGATAACCGTATCTGTGCTGTGTTTTGATGGCGCATTCCTCAAACATCCGCGTTGTGAGCTCTGGGAAGGCTCCGCAGAAAGGACTATAGTTCTGCTCTTTTTGGTCTTAGATTTTTTTTCACAAAATACCTTTTATGATGGCATTCTAACCTCACTAACTATATCTGAGACCGTTTTGCGCCCACAGCAAACCTCCTGAGAGAGGGCCACAAATTTAGGACCAAAACATACCTTAACTGACTTTGAAATTTATATCAGAAAACTTATTCTACGAATTTTGAATACAATTCTCATCGCAGATAAATGGAGAGGCGCTGGCGCCCCTCTATCAGCGCTGCGTGGGTTGGTAAATGTTCGAGTACTCGTACAAATCCTCATATTCGTGTGGCATCAACCGTGTGTAAGCACAACACGATGCCGGATCGTGAAAGGATAGGTATTCATCGAACACGCGGAAGCGCGTACTGATGAAAGAGGCATGCTGTGGGCGCACGTAAGGCCGGGCGAGTACGTCGTGGGCCATTCTTTCAATGTTCCAGCTCGCTCAGAGCATCAAGGGCGTTCGCAACTGAGTCAAAATCCATCTCCTTGAAATAATTCTCAGCGTAACTGGGTAGTCCGAAAAGGGAACAACCTACGAGTCACCCACTACTGTGAAACACTGAAAATGAGAAACCCCTGCAAAACTTAGTTATATAGCTTTCTTTTTTCCATATTAACTTGTCATTAAACACAGGAAGGCATGGCTGTTGCTAACTTATCCGCAAACCACTACTAATTTTCACAATACGACGTCGATGTTATCTAATAGCTATGTTATCTAGATACCGAGTACTGGCGATCGCCAACATTGGCGATGACATTTTCATGACATTGCTTAAGAATACATTATCAGGCTCTTAAGAGTCTTCAAAACATCCTAATGATCCGAATTACGTCAATGACAATCAAAGTACTAAAAGAACAAAAAATAACGAGGCAAAAAATTAGAAAAAAATAAGAAAGTTCAAAAAAGGAAGGTGGAGAACTTTGATATTGGCGATCGCCAGTCGCCAATATCGGCACTACACTTTTGATATGTATCGATTTGACGTGTGGTAACTTGTTTGCTATCAATAGGTATATAAAGTACAATCGCCAATATCGGCGACGGGCGATCACCAGTCGCTACGACTGGCGATCGCCAGTTTGGCGACAAAAATCGCCGGTTTTACACGTATTTGATGTATATCGATCGTCGCCATGCTATACTCCTCGAGGAGTACAGCGCCTGCCTTAGACCGGTCAACCCATGGACTATTCCCATGAGGATTTTATTTTCTAAAAGAGGAAGGTCGGTGGAATCGCGAGCTACTATGCAGCCACACTCGCTGCTGCCTTTGAGGATATCCTACCACCCTCTAATTGGCAGACACCATATTAGATAATAACTGAGCCTCGGACATGTCCAAAAACATCTTTTAACATACGCATTTATCATTATCGCAGCAACAATATCAATATCAACAATATCAATAATCCGGGAAAACAAACACCAACAAAACAATAAGAACAAGGAGATCTAAGCCGGAAGACGAAGCCGCTCCGTCGTTGTACGATCCTCACTGTCTCGAAGTTGCTCCTCCCTCTCTATCAGCTGGCATCTGGCCAGCATCGGCGTTGCACGATTTGTAAACAAATCTTATGGGAAGGAAATTGTTATACCGTAAGAATGTAATGAGACTGGAAAGTAAAAATGACAGATTCATAAACCAAATACAGTGACCGCCAAGAAGTTGCTGACAAGCCGCCTTCTTTTTTACATGCTAATTTTCGGATGGAAAACGAAGATGAAAAAATGATTGGATTGCATATGGTGATAGAGCTCAACAAGAGCTACAACCCACACATTGCCCTTTCCGGAAAACATGTATTCTAAAAATTTTAAAAATCTTTTTCTAGAAAAAGTCCGAAAATGGCCGCGTTACAATGTCGCGGACAATAGTTCTTCGAACTCGAAAATTTTCTGTTAGGTCTTCTCTTCTAGCAAAAACAGAAGTTATCCGGACAGTTAAGAATACTATATTGTAGAGCTCGTCGAGGGCAATAATCGGGTAATGGTTCCTTCCAAAAACCCAAGCTTGAATTTTGTTTTGCTTTTTTTCAAAAAATAATTCTTGGTTCCCTTCTTCAAGCCGAATTTCTTCACATGGAAATCTATTCAAGGCATTCCAACAAGGCTGTTCGGATAAAATGGATGCTCTTTGCCATCCCCTATGCATCGGACGTGTACTGGTAAGTTTCTTTGCTGAAAATGGCTCTTGACAGTGCGTGCACATGATCCCACCTGCACCTCACCGCTGACTTGCACCGCTTTGCAGGCTTGTATCTCAGCCGGCAGTCATTCCACGAGTTTGCAAGTAGGCTTATTCGAAAGAGCGTGACTTCCTCGACACGATGGTATGCAAAAGAGTTGGGTATGATAAACAGCAGAGATTTGGCGGATGGGGTGACAAAGCGCAGATTCAGTGGTAGGCTAAGGATTTTTCAATTAAAGTTGAGCAAAGCTTCTTTCGCCACCAGTTTCATCCTGAGAGTTCAGAACCGTCAATTTTCTTGTAATAGATCCATTTCGGAGCTCTAAGACCGTTCTAGTGTTGATAAGAGCTTTCACTCCATTCACCTCTAAGGCTGCGCTTTGTCACCCCATCCGCCAAATCTCTACTGTTTATCATACCCAACTCTTTTGCATACCATCGTGTCGAGGAAGTCACACCCTTTCGAATGAGCCTATGCGCAGGCTCGTGGATTGACTGCCGGCTGAGCTGCAAGCCTGCAAAGCGGTGCAAGTTAGTGTTGAGGTGCTGGTAGGGTCTTGTGCAGGCATTGTCAGGAGCCACTTTCAGCCAAGAAACTCACCAGTACACGTCCGATGCATAGGGGATGACAAAGAGCATCCATTTTATCCGAACAGCCTTGTTGGAATGCCTTGCATAGATTTCCATGTGAAGAAATTCGGCTTGAAGAAGGGAATTAAAAATTATTTTTTGAAAAAAAGCGAAACAAAATTCAAGCTTGGGTTTTTTGGAAGGAACCATTATCCGATTATTGCCCTCGATGAGCTGTACGATATAGTATGCTTACCTCTTCGAAAACTTTTGTTTTAGCTCGAAAAAAGACCTAACAGAAATTTTTCGCGTTCGAAGAATTATTATCCGCGACATTGTGACGCGGCCATTTTCGAACCTAGAAAAAGATTTTTAAAACTTTTTCAATACATGGTTTCCAGAAAGCGCAATGTGTGGGTTGTAGCACTTGGTGAGCTCTATCACCACATGCAATCCAATCATTTTTTCATCTTCGTTTTCCATCCGAAAATGAGCGATGAAAAGAGGAAGGCGGCTTGTCCGCAGTTCTTTGGCGGTCACTATATGTATAGTGTGGACCCCGGCCAGCTTCCCATAGGTACCTGCGCGACGCACCCGCAACGCACGCCTTCAGTGCGTCTCCTGCCCTAGCTCCTAATGGAAATCCTCTTTTCTCTACTTTTTGTTTTGTTTTTGGTGTACTATATTCTTTCTATTTCAGATATAAACATTCGAGATGGCGGTGACGAGATTTCACGTGCTCTAATAGTTCTAAAAGCTTCAGTCTTGTGTATAGGGGCCTGCAGGATCGCGAGAGTCGGACGTGCGTACGGCCATTGCGCCGCGCACGTCCGATGTCACTAAGGCAAGTGCCAGACTTATCCACTTCAGCCGTTCGTTCCGTTCATAGGTCAAATCACTACACTGTCCAACAGCAAAGGTGGTGAACCGAATGAACCTGTTCAACAGGATAAGTCTGGCACTTACCTGGGCCGTCGCACGCAGTTCTGACGTGCGCGGCGCAATGGCCGTACGCACGTCCGACTCTCGCGATCCTGCAGGCCCCTATAGTAGTCTTGTGTTTTCCTTTTTTTCTCTGAAAAATTGAGATTTGATTGGATATTAAGATGATAATCCTTCAAAAGCTTCTTGTATGATATAAGAGTCCTCGGTTTGATGTTTAGGGTGTAGACAGTGTCTCAAGTCAAAATTGAGCCTTCCAAAAAGCCAACAGGTATTTGTTTACGGAAATGTCCACTTTTTTTGAAATTTGGACTACTCTAGTTTCTAAGTCTACGAAGAGAAATGTTTTAAGAATGCTGTTGTTCTTTAATTTCTCTACGTATACTTATTACAACCTATCCCTCAGTGCAAGTTCGGAATATGCATCCATTGAGTAAATTTGAGGTACTCATGGAGGCTGCTTGCGTTTCGTTCTTGCATACGTCTCTTTTGAAGTGAATTTAGAGGTTTCCACTTTACATTTCTCTTCTTTGTGAGCATAAATGTGCTCTACTGCTCATGAGTGAGGCGAAAAGCATCAAGAAGGGTGCGCGCTGCGTGCGCGCCGCGGAAGTACCTATGGGAACCTGGCCGGGGTCCACACTATACATGTGACAACCTTAGGTAGGTGCCAGAGTAAGCGAATATTTTGTTCAGGTTGGGGTCCGGTGCAGAATTGACGTCACTTGGATTGATGCCAGCATGGTGAGTGACGTCCATTCTGCGCGGGACCCCAACCTGAACAAAATATTCGCTTACTCTGGCACCTACCTTACAGCACCTCTTTCGCGAACATGCTCTGTGATCACTTTTCCACGGCAAGCGTGGGAAAGGTGGAGCCTCAATCGATTGGATATGATTAGGAGCACGTTTGCGGAAGAGGTGAGTACAACTAGGTACCTTGTGGAAGAGTATGGAAGAGTATCTTTGGGGAGGAGGACTATATGTCGCCGAATTTGGAAGAGTCCCGCGCGGATTGCCTGCAGGAACGCATGTCCGCGCATGTGCAAGGGTGCGTATTTGTCGCAAATGACCGCGGGGACCGCCCTTTTTCGGCGACATGTAGTCCCCTACCCGTATCTTTGACTCTCGCAATTTTTGTGATTTCTGTATTCTTGTGGTGAATACATAATCAATATGGGATTCATGCGCTGCAGAGCTGGAATCCAGCGCTACATAATATGCAGAACTAAAAACTGCAGAACGACATAAATACAGGGGTCCTAAATTGCAGAGTCGTTTGCACCAGCGGTCGCGCGACCGCGTCGCGCCCGGGCATTTTGCCGGGGCCGGCGCCATTGATGCCCGGGCGCGACGCGGTCGCGCGACCGCTGGTGCAAACGACTCTGCAATTTAGGAGCCCTGTAGTACAGAAATGACTGGAATCACAAGAATCGCAGGATAGTGTGGCCGAATAATAATTCACTCAATGGCACCCGCCATACTTGATCCGCTTGATCCGCTTGATCCACTTCATCCACTTCACTATTGGTCAGTTCACTGAATTGACCAATGATGAAGCGGATCAAGCGGATTAAGTGGAACAAGTATGGCGGGTGCCAATCTCCGCGCTATCACACCTAACCGACGAGATACTGCAGAATATCCGCGGATGCAAATTCAGTAGCTTCTACATCGTCTCGGCTTTTGGGGCTGAATATCCAGTTCAGTCTGGTATGTTGCGAAATGCAGGAGATGAAGCTTCTGCCTACTTTTATCACTTCTTTCTGGCAGTTTAGGTGGAATTTTGTTTTGATTGCGGTAGCGCGTAATTTCTCATGTGGCATTCTTCTTGCCAAAGCTGATCTTCTTGCAACCTCCTCTGTGCTGATACCTCCCATAACCGCTAGGAATGCCAGTGTACATTCAAGTATACTTTTCAGAGAAATTGCTCCACTTGGGAATGTAAATGTTTCTGTTGGAGGCTGATACAACATGACCGTTACGACGCACATTGCGGAGATCCTCCGTCAAGGGATCTGGGCTTCATTAACAGGTGGATGGTGAGTGCGCTTCAACACTTTATCTTTTTTACTTTCTTCGACGTTTTCCCTGGCTATACTAACAGATCGCGTCGTTTCTGTTCATGTAGTATTTGATTGAAAGTACTGGAAGTATACATACGTTCTAAATACGGTAAAATTGTTTTTGGCAGAGCGAAGATTGCTCAAGTATGGGTCGATTGAGCGACGACAAATCGCAGATAGTGAGAGAAATGAAACAATAGACTTAGCGACCCATCATACTTCGCCGAACGAAGCCCAAAAGCGCTTAAAAAGGCCCCAAAAATCCCAGAAAAGCTCAGAAGCGGCAGAAAGAGCCGGAACGCCTTCCTTTTGTGCGCACATTTTGGCGTCAAGACATGTATGTTGTCTTCGCAACCGAGTCATTTTGCTTCGCTTTCTGTCGTTTGCGTCTCAAAATAATCTCAGAATTCTACCAAAACCAGGGGTTTTCCGACTCTTGCTCGCTTTTGGGCTTTCTAGGGGGCTTTTTAGGGCGCTTTTGAGCTCTTTTAGGCACTTTTGGGCTTTTTCGGCGAAGTATTACGTCCCTTATACCACTCAGTAAGCACACGCCATCTTTATCCACTTGATCCGCTTGATCCACTTCATCCACTTCGCCATTGGTCACTTCCCTGATTTAAGCAATAGCGAATTGGATGAAGCGGATCAAGTAGATCAAGTATGACATGTGCCATAGATGTTTGTTTCCAAATTGAATACTGCTACGTTCTTATTCGTGACGTATCGGCTGCCATGTAATTTTTCAAATTCTAGGTATTATGAGCCATCGCATTCCATCTTCTGCAACACTGTCCATCTTTACCTTTGGCTAGTTCTCTTGATCGTGCCATTGGTGGTAGGACTCGTAACATCTGGAGCGCTTTCATTATCACTACTTGTTGGATATACTTGTTTCATTGGCGTCCTCTTTGCGATTCTCAAGGTGAGAAAATTTGATTGTTTATATGGAGCATTTTGATGAGGTCTTTTTCGACTATCGTCTCGCACCTCCATGTTGTATTTGATACATCTGAACCAATAATCACGACAAAGACGGTTGCGGAATCGGATGTACCAACTCGAGCAGAACCGGATATAATAGGTTTGTCAGATTTTTCGCTGCATTTATGTGATAGCAACATAAAAATGCACATCATTGCGTCTTTCTACTTTCTTTCCCCTTGGTGGCGGAAAGGCAGTGGAGAGGCGCAATGATGTGCATTTTTATGCTGCTAGTTGGGGTTCTGTTGATTTTGTTGAAAATAGCGCCAGTGCAACAATCATATGTCATTTGTAAATTCAGAACAAGAGGAGGAAGATGTGTTGGAAATGGTGGAACTGCGCGATATTCGCAGACGTATCACTGATAATGATGTGATCATTGATCCTCCTTTAAGATCCAGAGTTAGTCATTGCATCAAATCCTTTTCCATCTTGGGAATGTTCTTTTTAATTTGCTTTTTGCATCTATTGTAACAAGTGCTTGTTTAGGGTGACCGGCGTCGAGTGCGCATTGAAAATGACCTTCAAGAAATGCCTAGCGTGAACAAAACTGTTGCGGTTGTACAGAAAAGAAGCGGACTTGAGGTTAGATCTTCAGATTTTTTTAGCACTTCATTGTTATCGATAGCTGATTTCGAAAGTGTTGGAGCCTAAGTTTCCAGGATGATAGTGATGAAGATACAAAGGACAAAGTTGTCGAAGTGCAAGACATAGCCATTGTTGAAGAAGCGCCGAATAATGATAGCGAAATAGAGCTGTCTGTGTATGTTGTCGTCATTTTCCTTACCTTTGCGCTTGAAGAAGTGTATCTTTCAGTGATGGAAGTCATGTAGGCACTTCTGTGAAGAGAAGACTTTCTTCCGCAATGTCACGGAAAATGTCAGAGCCAGTAATGACGCTGGAAGGGAAATTTGGTTGGTGATTGCTCAAGTTCTTTCTTACCGTCCACCCATAAATATGTTGTTTCAACAGTTATGCCATTTTGTCCCTATATCTTGTTTTCAAACGAATCTCGTTTTTTTGATAGTCTGTATAATTGAGTTATAATGGAGCGAGACTGAATTCTCAGACGCCGTTTGGAATATCAGGTCAGATCGGCTTAATTTCAGAACAACATTCGTCAGATGTAGCGCTGAACTCACGAGTTCGTCGTGCGCATTCATCATTTGAGTCATCAACCAGCCATCGTGACAAGGGCATGCTTAGCCAGTCAAGCTTAGATCAAGCGAGACAGGTTAGAAGTTTTTTACCACCAAACCCTTATATTACTCGAATTCAGAATACGCACAAATCGTATCCTTCCAAGATGAGTAGTGCGGAGGAGTTTCAGACAGGTGGTTTGAAAGCTAAGGTGGCGAAAAAGGATGGTGTTCTTATAAGATGCAGATCTAGCAGCAAGGAAAGGGGAGGATGAGTGAGGGGTCATATTTTTGGTGTTTTTTCTCGCAGAGAGAAGGGCTAATGTTTAGGAGCATTTCCGGGCAGCAGCCACTGTTTTTTGTGGGTTAAAATCGTACTATTCTTGTGGACGATGGCGTGGTTGTGGCATGAGGTGCCGCTATCACCAGACTGGAGCAGATTCGATCCCGCTTCTGGGCCAACCAAGTCTCTTAGCTCTTCGGAGACAGTAATTTGGTACCACAGCAACTCTTAGCGGATAGAAGCACTGACTCGGTAATCGGCTGGCCCCCGCAAGTCATGTAAAAAGACTCGCAGGCATACAGTGTTTCGTTGACTATGCAGTAATGTGCGTTCGGTGCATGCCCGCAGAGGGTAATGAAGACGCCAGATCCTCTACTTTCTGTCCTAAAATCGTATTTCTATCGATGAAATAATGATCTGGCAATTTTTGCCTGTGCAAACTTTAGCTTTTGCCCTGTAGAAGACTTTACCAGCTTTTTTATCTCATCATCTTCTTTTTTCCAGCCTCAGTATGACGCAATACACTTTATCAAATGTTATTTTTTTTTCTTTACACCATCTCGCTATCTTTAGACGTGAAAGCTGATTCAACTTCTTCATCTTCAAAGTCTATAGAATCGCAGAGTGCTCATGGTTCAGATGTTGGCGAAGTAAGTCTGCCGGCCAAGTTAGTTTAGTAGCATTTAGTCCCATATTTTGACAGACTGAAGCCAAAGAAAGTGACGAAATTCAATGCGAGGAAGTAGATCAGCCATCGACTAGCAAGGGCTTTCGAGAGAAAGAGAGTTTATATGAGATTGCCGCAAATGAGGAGAGCGGACCGAAGCGCAGGAAGTCCAAAATTACGGTGCAGTTTCATCGAACCTATAATGCTTTGAAGATCAAATATAGTTTTGCTTTTTTCAAGAAAATAGTCGATGATTCTCCACCGTCAACATCAGGATGGTATCCTGTTGTTGTCTCTCTTGGCGACACCGACCGCCCTCGATCAACATCTATCAGCAAAGCTCCCGACGATAGAGGTCAGTCGTAATACGTTTTCAACTTGAATAAGATATATTCGTACTTCAGCATCAGGAGCTGATATCAAAGTGGAAATCACCAAGTTTTTGGAAGAGCTGATAGAGAAACATCCGGAAACGTTGGATGTTATCGAAAATGTTCGTCAGAGTAGACTTGGAAGAAGCTCCGCATCGCACCGTGTTCCGCAAATGTTAAGGTCGGGGTTGGATAGATTTGTAGACTTGGAAGAAGCTCCGCATCGCACCGTGTTCCGCAAATGTTAAGGTCGGGGTTGGATAGATTTCGGAGGAGGTCTGTTGTGCCCCTATCATCCTAGCTTTTCAGAGCGCCGACGAGACGACGATCGTCTTCATCATCTGTGGTAGCGCTGTCGGACATGGCGTTGAAGGATGGTACCCACGTTGCTGCAGGTCACGAAGACACATCTCAAGGAGCTGTACACTCTTTTCAAGATGCTGATGGAATGTGGTGGACGTACGCTTTTGATGAGCACGGTTAGACAATTTCTTTAACGATTAATCACATATTGTTTCATATGTTTATTTATCTTTCATCTATCTTAGTTATCTTTCGAATTTACTATAGGGGTTTAATTTGCTTTTCTAGGGGTCGGAACTGCACAGCCTCTTGGCTCCGGACGTGCCCTTATGGAGCTGCTGCAAAGCACTCAGGATCCACCCTTAGGAAGGAACCGCTTGGATGTTCGTGCAGTATTTCGATTCTGTACAAAACAAACATTCAACTTTGCAGGTTTTGCCCGAATCTGCTTATGCGAGTAGTGAAGAAGAAAATGAACCATGCTCGTCTCAGGGTGCCAATGCACAAGGAATGGGGATGGGAAGCGCCAGGTGAGGATACTGAGTTTTTGTGATTTCTCACCCTTTTATTAATTTGTAGGCGTGAACGAGCTCTATCTTCGTCCAGTAACGAGAGTTATACCTACATTCCTCAATTACCGACAACTGTCTTCCATGCACCTACGGGAACGGGAGCAAGCAGGGCAAGGTTATTTTTTTCAGTTTTGGCAGTTTTGTGATTGAGCCACTCATATCGGCTATATCCTAGACATCAAATGGTATCGTTCGCAAATGTGGCATCGAGACTGCGGGCTGCTGTGCGTCAAACAGACGGTTTAGCAATAGGAGGACCCGATGGGACAGATGTGACATCAAATCAGTTTGCAAGAAGTATCTTAGAACGCCGAGAAGGACGAGCAAGAGTGGATAGCGCACCACCTTCCTATCAGGTCTTTGAGATTTTTTTTCAACTCTTTATTTTGTTTTCGGGGTTATAACAGTCTAGGTTTATTCGCATTTGGATCCGTATGCCAACTCTGGTTTAGGACGCTTTTCTCACACGGTTGGATTCGGGCTCTTCCACAGGAGCTGGCATGTCATCCAGATTCCGTTTTCTATCTGAACTTGGTCTAGCTGTGCTTCCAACAGGTGGTACAAATGCAGGTATGTGTCATTTTTATGGTATTCAACCGCTTTGGCAAAATTACAAAATAAGCCAGTATATTCCGGTAATTGGTGTTTGCCATGGTTATGAAAATTTTTTCGTATACATAGAGTTTAGCAGCACTCTCAGTTGACTATTCTGCGCCACCTACTCGACGTACATCAACGGTAAAGAAGAGCTACTACTACAAGATGAAGATGTTTCCGAAGACGAATAAGAGTTTCAAACTTAAGGTGAACTTTCGTTCGTCCATTGTAGGCTTTCGTGCCTTATCTGTAAATTTCAGTTGGATCGGCTGTCAGTATCTGCGTTGTTCGATAGGAACCACTCTGCTTGGTCTTGCGCATTTGATGTTCTTTTGGCTTGTACAGTATCATTTCTCGCTGGCCTGGTACTAGCTACTGGCATCTACTTCGACATTTGGTTATTCTTGCTCGCCTTCACAGTTGCTGGTGCCCATGTATGTTTGTTATACTGTTTGCGTTTTTTTTCTTTTGCCACATTACGCCTTCGGTACTTTTCACCATTTATCCCTCCATGACAACTTTTTCCTTTCAGTTCTCTCTTCTCAAAAGCGTCCAGCCGGATGCATCATCACCTATTCATGGTTTCAACTGGCTCGTCGCCTACAGTCGTCCCGTCTACTTTTGCATTCTGGCGGTCATAGTTTTAGTGCTGCATCATTTTTGTGATGACCCAAACTATGATAAAATCCCATGGAACTGGAATCCATACAGGTTTGTTATCTGGTCGCAAAATGCAATCGCGTACCTTGCATTCAGGCTGTATGAGACCTCGGGAGAGATGGTGCTTTTAGCAGTTCGTGACCTTTTTGCTACATTTTTAGTAATGCTACCATTTGCTTTCACGATGGGTTGGCTTCCGCAGGTTAGCACTCTTTTTGTTCTGATTGAATGAAGTCGGCCAAGTTTATCCTGCAAAATAACTACGCACCTTTTTTGCCAGTTTCATAAGTTTGTCACAAAATTTGCAGGTTAACACACTTATGCATCATGTACTAGAACAGCTTGAGATGCATATATTCGGAGGGACTGCTTCTCTGGGTGTAGTGAGCGCTCTCGTGCAGATTCTAAAAAGCCTTGCCGCCTGGGCTATTCTTGGAGTATTGTGGGTTCTCAAGAATTTCGTGAAATTTTTTTCAAGTCCATTTTTGATTAACAGGTGTCATTTGGCCTATTCCATCGACTCTACTACTACACAAACTCCTGCATTTTCTGCTTTTCTCTCTGCTGCTGTCGCGATCTCATATTTGCTTAGCAGGTGTGTTTCCAGTGGACTATGAACACATTTTTGGGTTTGTCTTGAAGGTTTTCGTCCAATCCACAGTTGTCTATAATCTTGCTTCGAGCCGTATGTCCGTCTGTAGGAACTCCTAGTAACTCTGATAGTACCAGTCGCTTATGCTGCGCTGCGTCTTCAGAACAAGAAGAGGATGAGAGGGTGAAAGATCTGGGTGAGCCTTGGAAATTTTTTTCAACTTTGTGATCGAAAGTTATGCTGCTTTAGATGAACTAGATGTTTCGGACCCCTTACCTGGACGTCTAAAGAATGCTGTAGTACTGCGAGCAAGACATGACATGCTGTTTTCGGGTTTTTTGTCACTGCTCGTCTTTGCTTTGCATTCTACTTCTTTGTTTACAGCTACGCAGCCTTACTTTGCTGTGAGTTTGTGTTGTTTTCGGCATTTTATTTTTCTCAGCTTTTTGCTGGTTATACCTCTCATGTTTTTTTTGCCTTTGAAGTTATGAGACCTATATGATGTTCTGCCCTCCTCTCTTGGGCTCCGGAGGCACCCATCGCTGCCAAATGTTTACGTTCTAACCCTGTTCGTTGAGGAAATATTGGAGAAAATAGCTCTGCTTTGAGTAAAACTTGCTAACCATTCTTTGTTTTTTTCCCCATCTAGAATCTACACTATGTCCATCGTTTATGTTTCAGATTGTCATTGTTCCTGTGTGCGTCGCGTTTGGTATTTTGAACCACTACATTTATGAGCAGTTAAGAACGCACACACCTTGGAAGCTGGTATGCTATAATTTGGTACATATGGTTCCTAAATTTCCTTCATATATTTCCTCCAGATCGCAAAGCCTATACTTCACTCAAGAGAGTACACGCAATATGAAAGTCCTGAAGAAGCCAAACTCATGAATTTCGAGATCATACATGTCTGGATGCTAGCGCTTGAGAAGAATCTGGTGAGTGTAGCCCGTTCAACTATATTTTTGGAATAATAGCAAAATTAGCTCTATCCCTTGGTGGCTATGGCTGTTTTAACGGAGTGTGGATGGTACCTTCCCTGGGCAAGATTCATAGCCCCTCTCATTGTGCTTCGCTTCCTGCGTGGTGGCTTCTCCCATCCGCAGCTGATCTATGTTCCCTTGGCCCTCGCGTTCACCCTGACTCGTTTTGACTGGAAGACAGGATTACCGTTTGGAATCTCTAATGAGGTACGGTGAAGTTGAGCTAGATTTAGCTTTATGCTTGGTTTTTTGCAGATTTCGCCTGCTACGGTATTTCCTCTAGTTTTGTACCTTCTCATCGTTCTGTATCCTAAATGGCTTGAGCTCTATTTAAAAATGAGCTTTGTTATGGCATACGTGGCACCTTGGCAAATCAGCTGGGGATCGGCATTTCACGCTTTTGCTCAGGTATACACTGATATCATACTTCTGTCAACATTAGACTATCCTTCATCTGACTGGCGTTGCATTATAAATGACATCTTAGCCATTTTCCATACCACACTCCGCTCTTATATGGACGCAGACCGTTGTCTCGAGTCTGATCAGCGCACCTCTCAATCCATTCTTAGGTACTTTTGCTTTTCTACGTAAAAGTGTATGAGTTAACAGTTCCATTATAGGCTCCTCCTTCTTCACTACATCTTATGTCCGTCCAGTAAAGTTCTGGGAGCGAGACTATAACACGAAGCGCAGCGATGCATCAAACACAACTCTTGGTTAGATACCTTCCTATCTTACATATCTGCTAATTCTTGGCGTTGCAGCTTCGCAGATTGATCGCGGACCGATGTTGGATGATAGCAATCTGAATGCGGTGTTCTACGAGCACCTGACAAGGTCTGTCAGTATGAGTTTCTTTCAATGTTCCTAGTTTGATTCTGGCACTTTCAGAAGTCTGCAAAAAAGCTTGGCTGGTGATTTGCAAATGGGTAGATGGGCAACGAGTGTTCAACCGGGTGATTGCTTCATTCTGGCTAGGTGAGGTGCCTGCTCATCTAATATGTCTGACGAGGACGATCAGTTTCAGCTTCTATCTCAACTGTCTTGTACACATAATCGAAGTCGGAAACGGTTTTGTCACTTTTCAACTGCGTGGGCTTGAATTTCGTGGCACCTACTGCCATCAAAGAGAGGTAGTCTTCAAGCTGTTCCTTTTTGTGTTCGAAATCTAATTTTTTTCTGGAAGCATTTTCTAATTATACCATGTGTTTCTGATTCTACAAGAGAAGGATATCTCTAGATACACAACTGTAGAAACAGTTTCAGCTTTGGCATACATTCTTGATTTGAAGGTTGAAGCGATCTCGGATGATCAAACGCAAGGGACTGGATGCTGTTGTTGTGCTCCTGGCTCCTTACCTGGGTTTCTGTCGCTGAACACTGCGTGGAGCCTACGCTGGTTAGCATGGGAGGTAGGGAGTTCCTATTGTAGCAGGCTAAATCACATTTTTGGTGTTTTTTTGCGTGGTTATTTTCTTTTGTTTGTTATCAACACCCTTGTTTTTGGTATGTGCTTCTGCTGTCAATCACCGGCTCAGAGAGCAGTTCATAGCAGATTTTCGAGTGTTTCATCGTTTGCATGTTCTTTGTTCTGCAAACTGTGACCCCGACCTTGTAGACACATGGAAAAGCTGCTCAAAGACCGGAAGATTGTAGAAGTGTTAGTTTCATCTTTATAGGTAGTTACCGGGAAGTACATCATCGACGGTTACTCAATCACCGACAACTCAGCTGTGAACTTGCTACAAGTGCATGAACTTCGACGTTTTCTCGTAACCCTCTATGTGAAATGCATAGTGTATTATGCACTCGCTTCGAACAAACTCCAGAGTTGGCTGTCCAATGAGACCGTGGTAAGCATTCTTCAAATCCCTTCCAAATACTGCTGATCTCATCTACATTCAGCATGCTACCTTAGAACCAATAGTAACGAATCCACACTATGCAGATGTAGATCATTTGTTCTGTTCGACAAACGATGAAGATTTTGATATGAACAAAATGGTATGTATATTTTTCCAATTATGTTAGACAACTATTCTCCAAACACAGGGTATCTCTCGGAGCAGTTTCACTGAATGGTATTCCTTATGGATCGCACATTGCATACATAAGCGAAGCGAACGAAATCCGGACGAAGAGCTGTGAGTCAAATTTTCTTTTACATATACACATTATGTAAAAGAGATTTCTGGTTTGGAATGTTTTCGGTCGCATTTGAAGCTTAAAGCGGTAAAATCATCGTTCTGGGCGCCTCTCTTGTCATTTGCCAATGGGCTCACAAATTGCAATCAGCGCGTTGCTGTGCTTCTGCCAATGAATTTTCCTATAATTTTCGTCTGCAGTGATTTCCCATCTATGGCCTAATTACCAACTTTGAAAATAGCTCTATCAAATGTCTCTAAACATCCGACTACTTACGCAAGATCGTTGAATGAGAATTTGGGATGCTCACTTTTCTTCACGAGAAAGTGACCTCTTTTCAAGAAAAAAAATTTTTTTTTTCATATTGGGCAGTTGTCTGTATTGCAGATTTTTCATTCGAAATACTTTTCATTTGAAAAAGGGCAATATTTTTCATTCAGAGATTCCGATTACATCACTAGCCTATGCTTCGTGCTATCCCTTCTTGGCCGACGAGCTCTTGGCGCAGCGTCGTACAATCGGCATTCTGATGCTGCTGAGTCATTCTTGTGCGGATTACATGCATTGTTTAAGGGCGACTTCAGGTACAGTTCCGCTATACGAATACATTTCATCAAAGGAATTTGACAAATTTGCAGGATCACATGTCAGCGTGACGAATGGGTGTTCGCTGACATGGATTTATTACGATGCGTCATCTCACCTGCAGTCAAGATGGCATTGAAACTACATCAAGTGAGAGATTTCTTCATAAATTACATAAATAGTCATAATAAAAAGTGGTCATGCCAACGTCGCAGTCTTTGCTATGCTTTAAAACATCAAAGCACTGTAGAAAAAGCAAAAACAATGACGGTGCTTAGTAGAAATGTAGCGTAGATGATATCAAATTGACGATGGTGAAGGATCATCTGCGGACAATCGTAGTGAGTTATGTCATCTTTCCTAGTGATAAGGAAATAGAAAACGTGGTCTTCAGACGAAAAATGCGCAAATACTAGTACACATTGCTATTCTCGCTTCTAGGATCATTTTGTTGCACCTGATGATTTTGACGACCCGGAGTCCCTATACGATCTCATCGCTGATCATCAGACCAAGCTTTTCATCTCACACGAACACGATCCTGCATGGCGCCGTGCTATAATTGCGAATACTCCGTCTTTGTTAGCCCTGAGGCACGTTTATGACGAAGGCCAAGATGATTACAAGATCATCATGTTAAATAGGATGCATCTAAACATGAGGTTGGCACGCCAATGAACGACTTCCTTGGTTAGTTCTATTATTTATAGGGTGATCAAGTTGAATCGGGAATGTGTGAGGGCTTTTTGGGCTGGACAGCAGCAGGAATTGATTTTCTTGAGGAATAGAAATCCTGAAAGAGGAAGTATTCAGAATGCCAGACAAGTTTTGAGGTGTGGTTCCAAAAGTTTTTTTTGTTTTGCTGGAATATCTTTGCAAAATTGTAGGAACATGATCAACAGTTCGGCTGATCAGCCGGTTGGATATCCTATTTATGTCTCACCTCTGACAACTTCGTTTGCTGAAACACATGCTCAGATGGAACGTATAGTAGGGCCACCGATCACGATTGAGGTGGAGGAACCAGCACTTTCTTCCACGGGATTTTATGCAAATTTTTCTAGGGCATCGGCTCAGCCATAAGAAAAGCATGGACCGCCCTACGTGCTCATTTCGGACCATCTGGCAGTTCTTCATTGAGGCTGCAAGGAGGCTGTGGTGCAAATGTGCCTCCAATAGCTCTACAGACCTTGACTGCAGTCCAGTCACAACAGAAGCAAACGGGCAGTGCTGAAGTTGACGAAAGAGGCAGCACTACATCGGCTCACGTGAGGAATTTATAAAATTGTCTTCCTATTTTATCAGTGTTTCCGACTGTCTAGGTGGAGAATTCCATTGTTCACATGACTCCAGATGGAAGTGCTAGGGTAATGTTAGCCAGAAGAGTTGGTGGAAGCGGTGATACCCCTCCAGCTATAAGCAAATATTCATCGACGGATTCGGTGCCACAAGGTGCTGCGAAAAGAATAAGCACGGAGAGGAAGACGGAAGAGAAGGAAAGCGTTGAGGAAGAAGATGTGGAAGAGGCTAAAGATTTAGGAATTTGGGTACGAATCACGGATCCGGAACAGGTTTGGAGTTCATTTGTGGTAAGGGATGTTGCTGCATATTTTGCTTCTTCTAGGTTTTCCGCTATCTTAATGAGCCGCTCAAATCCACTGGGGAGCCGTTGGTTGTGTGGCCGAGTGAGGAAATACGACAGGTTTGTTCACGCAATCCTTTTCACTACTTTTGTAAAGATAAAGTTGATTGTAGATCAGTGGTCGGAACTGCTGGTATATCCAACCGATGGAAGGATTTACGGGACGAGTAATGTTCACATGGCATCCAAACCATCCTAATAGGAAACTACGCAGCCATATAGGAGACGCTATATATCTAGTGAGTTGTAAAGACATCTGTCTGCGTAATCTATAACAATGGTATTTCTAGGTCGCATTCCCTGAGATAGCCTCTGCGCTTGTTCCAGTTAGTGAAAAAGGGTGCACAATTGTCAGTCCTGATCAGCCTGTTGAATTTCAAGGAGACGCAAGAAAAACGGTCAGTTTCTTCCACTTTAGCAAAATTTTCATTCGATCGATAATTGACTATTTTGTGGCTGTAGGTTCCGTTGTATAGCCGTTAAGCCTTATATGAGCAATCTTATATATAAAGCTGAATGTCTGTTTGTATGTCTGCCTGTATGTATGTACGTATGTTCCGAATAGAAAATTCCATTTCTGAACCGATCGGGACCAAACTTGGTACACATACACTTTGGGCCCCGGCGGGTGTCATAGGCTACTTTTCGTCATCGATCGATATCGATTTTATCGATTTTTTTGGAAAATTCGAGCTACAGGGCTGGGAGTTGGCACAGGGGAGTAATCGAGCATGCTGATCACCCCCGTGAGGTGATCAGCATGCTCGATTACACCCCTCTGCCAAACTCCAGCCCCCTGTGACACCCGCCGGGGCCCGAAGTGTATGTGTGCCAAGTTTGGTCCGGATCGGTTAAGAAATGGAATTTTCTATTCGGAACATACGGCGGAGCCGGGTAAGCCAGCTAGTGGGTTAAATAACTAAAGACCGCCTTCCATATTCTTGTCATTCTGGGGCCTTTGCGTGACCCTCTCTCTTTCAAAAAAAAAAAACACGATTCCTGAGAGGCCTATCCTGAAGGCACAGACGACTTTCAGTACCTGGGTGGGGGCGGAGCTTGGGAGGTGGGCGTGGCTGGACGGCTTCTTCGTGGGTTCCAGCTCTATTTTCTCTATTCAGAAAGAGACATTGGAGGACCGGACCAACCCAGACCCTCTCTTTGGGCCTACATCTGGCTTAGGTAGTAATCGGAGGGGTTCAGATTTTGGATTCCTGGACGATGCCTCTAAATGAATGATTACCTGCGACTTGAACGTTCGCAGTGACCACATCAGAAAAATCTTGATCTCCCAAAAGTCGTGCCTTGGGCTTGTAGACGTTGTGATGTGTACTTTGACTTACACTTCAAAGGTCTAAGAACAAAGCGCTGCATAATTTCCTCGAACTATCATTTTCATAATTTTCACATGCCTGAGAATCTTTTTTCGTTTCCAGCTTTTCTTTGACCCCTTTTCGCCAGTGATAGGTTTGATTGTTTGGTCACAGTTTATCAGTGCGAATCATAAAACCGCATACCTGCGTCATGGCTTGTGAGAATCTGCGGCATAATGTGTGACCGCAGTGGTTGTAAGAAGTGCTAAATGTGTCTGCCAAACCTGATCATTGCTGAGGTCATCTTGCGAATGAGAAGAGTGATTTGTGAAGATTTCCATTTGTTTTCACTTCAGTTTTAGCCTCTGTTCAACTTGCGCATGTAGCCTCACTAGGTTATAAAAATGGGAATGGAGTTGAAGTTGTTGAATTCTTAAACTTATCAATTTAAGGAGTACCTGCAGTTTGTGAAGAAGATCCAAAGCAAGTTGGAGGTTTTGTAGCCGTGCGATACCTTGTTTGCTACAATGGTGAGCATCTGCTTTTTAGCTGATGAATCGTGTACTATTTTTGATTTTTCTATGCTTTCGAGAATTTCTGTACAATTTGTGCCCCTCATCTTGCTAAATCTGTAAAGGTCTAATTATTAGCATAATAATTGTTTGTGGATGACGCATGAAAAATGCTGTTAATTTTCATCATTTGCTAATTTTTTTTGCATTGTATGGGTTAACTTGGACCCAAGAGTAAGACCATAAAATTATATGACGTTCATAGTTTTCATCTCTCGAATAACCTGCTGGGTATCCCACAAGATTGCTGAATGAATGTTTACTCTTATGATGTTCACTGCGATCCAACATCTAAAGGTAATCATTTGGCCCCTCAGCGGTCATATAACCTGTTATCAAATAGTTTTTGGTTCATCAAATCTTTGATAATTGTGCGATGATTGTATGAACTCGTCTTCCACTGATTACACAATGATCGTGACAGGTTTTTTCTCACTTATCGTCATGAGCGACCTGTTTGAGACGAAAATCAAAGATCGGTAAATCAGAAGATAATGAATGAATGCATTAATTATGGAACGTGGAAAAGTCCAAGTGCTGGAAGTTTTTGCCGTCTAACCGTGTTTTATCGTTAACAGGGAGCAAAAGGTGTTCTGCTTTGAAGAGTGCAAGTCTAAGGTGAAAGCGGTCAGAATGGTGCTAAAAATTTAGCCGTTGAGATGAGAGTCAATCTGCGATCAGACATTTGATACAAATTCCTACAACCTTTATAATGGGTAGAATTTCAATTACCTTCCACTTCAACACATTCACGAGAATACGTCCCACCGGTGGGTTGTACGTGCTCTGTCATTTAGTGCATATGACCCACCGGTGGGTCATAAAATTCTCAAAGCTTTACCCTGAGTGTTCCGGGCCGGGGATATTGTAATTTAATGTTGCGGTAGTACCGTAGATAAGGCTAGGTATAAATTTAGCTCAAGTTCTTTACAGAATGATATTGTTTCTAGAAGCTCAAGTGTACATGCACAAGAACTACGAGGCGTGGACGGGCAAGAGACTCACTCCATCAACAGTTGTCGATTTTGTTGATTTTTTTTGCATTTTTACCCCAAGAAGCTCGATTCTTACATGCATACGTTTTGTAGCACGCTGAGTAAGTGATAGTCTTCTCAGTACCCCATCTTACATCAATTGCTTGAATGTGTGAAAATTCTACCGTATACCGTAGTCCCACTGTGGTAGAGCAATGAACAAATTAGAAGCTTTAATCGTGATCAGCACGTGAAATAACTCTAGAATCCAATTTCTCGCGAAAACTCATGATGTTGTTTGTACAGAATGACTGCCGTAACCTTACGGTATAATGCCAAAAACTGAAATAAACCTTATTTTGACAATCAGCGTCTTTGATAATCTCTTTGGAGAAATTTTTTAGACTTGCTTTGACTTCCTTCCAAAAAGACCCCATTTCGGGCAATACGACCCAGGGTGGGTCTTGAGTTTGACAAAGCGAAAAAGGCTGTGGTCTCAAATGACAGTATCGAAAAATTGGCTTCGTCCAGGGCCCGGCATGAGTCCGCTTCTAGGTCTTTGAAAACGAATCTACCTGACTTAAATTTTACGAAGTCCCCTTTGACCATGGAACGTCGACTAAAAAACCTAACTTTTGTTTTGGACTCACAAAAACGATGTCCCCTTTGCTTTTTCGCCCCGAAAACGATGTCGCCTGCTTCCAGATGATGTGTGCCGTGCTCTGGCTTTGTCGTAAAGGTGTTGAAGTAAGGCTCCTAGTATTGTATATTTACAGTCACTCACCACTCCTTGTTTGCCTTCTTTAAAAAACATCCCCCTGACAGCGAGACCATGTGGCAACATCTTTTGCGACAATAAATTTGTTCTGACATAACCCGCTCATCATAATACCCACGCTCACGTTTGAAAAACACTGGCGCACGGTCTCCTCGTTCCGCATGCTCTCGCGCCATGCTGGACGAGTCGGTCGTCTCCTGTACAGGTGTGCTATCGTGCAGAGACCAGGCGTTCTTTTGGTCCACTACGTCATCAACATCAATCTTTCAGTGCTGGGTGTCTGTTTGAGTTCGCACCGTTCTAATATTCGCAAAAAAAGTTGTTTGTTTTTCGCCTGTACGATACAGCTCGGTGCCCTGTCGTTTTTATGCAAGACCGGTTTTTGAATGTTTGAGATCTTCATCGGTCATGCGCTTGCAAAAAAATTAGGTGTATAGGTCATTTATAAAATCGTGACGACGGATTTGACTGTGGTCTTTGCGACCAAAAGAGCGTAAAACACTAATACAAAAAGACATCAACACAACGCTCAGTTCAGTCACTTCCAATATCTAAATACTATCATATGTAGGCAGAAAATCCATTCGAGTAGAGATGAAGGCCAAGAATGCGGTTACCGGAAGTGCGTGCGTGTCGCGCGCGGTCGCACCATCGTCACTATTTTTTGAATGCCTTATACCTGGTAAGTGTCTCGATACCCTTAAGTGCCAGACTGGCATTCCTACATTCTAGAAGCAGGGCTTTGAGCTTCCACAAATTTTGCTAACTTTCTGAGTGGACAAAGCAACCTTTAAATAGAGGACTAGAAAGAATAAAATCAAAAGGCAGGAGAAAGAAGCCTGAAAACGAGTTTTATCTTGCCAGTTTTTCTTCTATTTTTTAGCCAGGCTCGGCACACTTGGCACCGTGTCAAGCTGGATATCGTTTTTGGACCAAAAGGTAAAGGGGATATTGTTTTTTGTGGCCGAAATGACACAAAAATTGCGAAGTTTTTTAGTCAACGTTTCGTTTTTTGAGGGTTTTTTACGCTTAGGGTTTAGAGTCAAAGGGGACTTCGTACAAAATTTCCAAAATTATTAGGGACCTTCGTTTTGAAATTTCCCTGGTGCTCGTGCCGACCCCTGTTTTTTAGCAAACGCCATAGAACTGAAGAGTGATAACAGATCTCTGGTACAACCATCCTTGTTTTTTACTCTGAAAATTTTCTTTTGCAAATTATAGGGGATTTTTCCTCTACCTTATTGAAGAAATTGGGGCATCTACTCTTTCCTACAGTCCCCACAAAAAATTTTTATGGGTGCTAGAGCAATTTTGTCTTTGTCTTCGTATAAAATCGCATGCGAAAGCATCAATTAGCTTGGTTTTATGCTTCAATTGTAAGTTATACCCAAGGCGGGAACATCAAAAAAAAACTTCTCTTCCTCCTTGAACGGAGGTGTATCCTGCTCTCTGAGCCCCGTCCTTCTGCTGACCAAGAATTGAGAAACTTAAGAGAGATCAGACATGATCTTGCCACGAAAACAGAGCACCAGACGCAAGAAATCTGGGATTGGATCCGCCCATACCAAGTTTGAATTGGTTTCAGTGGGGACAGACCAGCTTATAATCATTTTAATTTCTTATTATAAATGTTTTGATTTTTCTTGGCAGAAAAAAGTTCAAAAGTGATTGTGAAGAAGTACTGCAGGTTATTTTATCACTAACATAAGTACACGTCCATTCAGTACTAGTAATATATCAATTAGAGAAGATTTTATTGAAATAATCTTTACAAGCAAAATAATCAATAAAATTACGCACAGCCTACGGAAGCATTTATGTACAGACATTTACAAAGCAAATAGAATAAACCGTAACGATGCCACTGGTCATAGAAAGATAAACTTCTAAAAAAGCAAAATTAACTCGACCAAAAATCAGGACGAGATGTCTATGAGGCGGAGATCAAGCGTGAAACTCGTACAAATCCATGACAAAGACTGATCGGATGAGCAAGTAAACCGTCATGTTGTTTATACAGAATGAGTGCATATTTAAGCATGTGTAACCTTTGATTCAACTGGATTGGGGACTGGGAGGCGGGGCTTCGTGACCTAATTAAGGTTATAAGATGATCAGAGGGTACGTGCGCGAGAGAGACGCAGATTGCGTCGCGGGCACGAGCGGCCTTAATAAGGTCGCAAAGCCCCGCCTTCCAGCCGTCAAGCCAGTTGAATCAAAGGCTAGGTGTCGATATATATGTGTGGATTGGTGGATGTGTATGCTGATCGTGTCATAGAAGAAGAAAACCCGTTTGGTGTTGAAGAATGGGACAAAAAATTCCTACAGGGTCAGTTAGACCACTTGGGTTGGGTCATGAGCGGTTGTCACCGGGAGCTGAGTCGAACGCGATTGAGCTTCTAGGGTTGTCACGTTCAGGACAACAGGAGAGTTCAGTCGTTCTATGGCTTGAGCATAGGTTGGAGGTGGTGCTTCATCAGCTATCACCTGAAAAAATAATCCATTTTTCCTTTTTTCTCAATTTCTGTGTTTTTTCTTGGATTTTTGCAGCTTCTTTTCAAGGTAAAAGCGAGAAAGACGTTTATTTTTTTCTCAGAACTTTCAAACCATATTACGCGGTCGAGTACACTTCTTAAGCTGCATCTACAGTTGTTCGTGTCAGCGCCGTTCCAGCGCTGTTCCAGCGCCGTACCAGCGCCATGCTAGCGCCGCGCCGGGACTATGCTGGCAAAGTCTGTCGATCAGTACGCACTGCGTCTACTGGTACGGCTTTAGAACAGCAATGGAACGCGCACTGCGTCTACTGGTACGGCTTTAGAACAGCAATGGAACGGCGCTGGCACGGTGCCGTTCTGGATGCGGTAGCGACGCGTAGGCGGTTACAAGAGTACGAAAATATCGGAGTATATACAGTTTGGCTCGCGCGAAAGCACTTTGGGCGGAGTTTGCGCCAAAATTTTTTTTGACTTTCTGATATGATGAAAATGTCTTACCTGACTATAACTTGGCGGTGGTTTACTATAGGCTCGAAGCTTCATCTCTTTCATTACACCAAATGTGGCACTGAACATGGCGTGAATTTCCCAAATAAATAGACAGACAGAGATGAGCAACCAAGCGAAATGAAATACGGAAGCTGAGTCGTTTGATTCGGCTTCTTGCAGTCCGTGAAAGAGTGCGGCTGATGAGAGTGAGACCTGCAAGAATGTGGGATTAAATAAGGAGCATCAATTTCGCAAATATATGAGGGGGAGGGGTACGTTAAATTTTTAGATCTTTGAATTTTTACAAGTTTTTCAAAAAATCAATTTCAATCTATGATTTTTCTAATTTTAAATTAAACTTATCCAAAACAAGGTAAAGTTTTTTTTTACAAGCCTAGCTGATTATTTTAAACGGCAAGTTGACCAACCAACATAAACAATGGGATTGGGAGTAAAAGCACAGAAGCTTCAAAAGTTACAGGAACAAACAGCGAGCAACCCATACATACAATGAACATCTTCAGCTTCAAAAACATAGTGTGATTAGTGTGTTTTGAATTTTCAGAGTTTTTTGAATCCTTTGACTTTTAATGAAATGATTTTTGGATTCAAATTTGAAACTGACTTCAAAAATTTTCAAATTTTCTCTCTAAATTTACAATAGACGTCCTAATAAAAAAATAAGAATGTAGGATTTTTGAACGTTATAGGAAGAAGCGAAGGAAGAGGATCGTACAGCTGTTGTTTGGTCACATAAATGAGAGAGTAAACAGCGCATTTGTGAGAATTTGAAGGTGGAGTGATATCTCCTCCCCCTAGCATTGATACCACTTACTTTGATTACTAAAAGAGTTCAAAATATATTTAGGCTTTCCAGAGAGTGTGTATTATCATATGACTACAATTGTTTAGTACTAATATGACCAGATATATTTTTTTACTAAATTCGTATTCGTAAAATACCACTATAGCATGGGATTTTCCCAGCTGTATCGTCTAAAATGCAATCTAAATTTATTTTTGTCCTTCTTTTCTCATATGAGTACATATCAGAATGACTTAGCTGTATTATGGTCTTGCGAAAAAACGTTCGAAATACTTCAACAAGAGATTTTTGAGGCTTGAAAAAGAAATTTATTTGAAATTGAAGCCTATCGCTACGAAAAACATCTAGTACTGAGAGAGTCAAGACATTTGTTGACGTAAAAATAGCCTCGATCACGAGACGACGTACGAGTTACCTGGGTAACAACACTGTCCTAATTCCTGATTACTTACACTTTATATCTGTATTGGGGACATTTCTGGATCTATTTATGGATGTCTAGACATCGAGGGTATCTAAGGGACAAGGCTAAAAAATTTATGGGACCTAAGGGGACGGAATTCGAAAGCCAGAGGGGGCACAAAGAGTGCGTATGTTTTTTGGTTTCTATAAAGTTAGTAGTAGTCATAGTAACTTAAAATGTAGAAAATAAAAAAAACAGAAATGAAAAATAGGAAAAAATTCAAAAAACGTAGAAAATAAAAAATAGGAATAGAAACGGTAGTATATAAAAATGACGGATCATGTATTCATGAGCATTTCGAAAATTAATTGGATATACACTTCAAATTCTTTTACAATATTCCTATTTCATATCTATCTCCGCACAGAAATAGTAAGGGGTAATTTTCGAGAATAATTTTTAAGGCCTTTAATATATTTTTGCGGTAAATATGCAATAACTAACCTTCAAAATCACATTTGGAGTGAGAAACACCGGCTTGAATGCAAAAATTCCATACATGGCCAGTGCTACGATGACTGTATTCAGCACAAAAATCGCAAATGAAAGCACTGAATCAGGTCCGAATGCCTCCAACGAAAGAATGATTGAATTGCCAAAATTCACCATTATCAGTATGCCAGTCACCATTCGACTCTGAAATTGAACTCTGTAGATTTTTATCTTTGGAAATCCCTTTTTAATCTGGATCTATCATTTTTTTGTGGTTTTAAACTTCTGTCCTTTGCGTGTACCCTTGGAAGCCAGTACCGGTTCGATGACCTTGAAAGGGCTAATCTCGCGCAAAATGATAAATGCGAGAACTTTTGAAGTTCATTTCTTCGTCAGGACTACGCAAAGAAAAAACTATAACCTATAATTAATTGTTTGCGTGGTTTCCAAGATAAGTAAGGTAATATTTTGATTTTAAAAAAGGTTTCAGTATGTTCTTCTGCGATAATCATATTGCGATATTCTAAACTTGTCGTTATCTCCAATTCTAAAGAAAACACTTTTGGTAAGTTAAGTTTTTTTCCAAATAAAGCTTGATAATCTAGACTTATTGGCAACTAACTCTGTCTGAAAGCCTTATGCGCAAATCTGGAATTTAGCAAACTTTTGAGAACCTATTTAGTACGAAAATCAAGACTGTCTCATAGTAATGAGGTTCAAATCAGGGTTATCCATCTATCAAAGAAATCTAGCATTTTTTAAACATTTACTGTCCCATACCAAAAATATTCATGGATGCTATGGTCCCATTTCCAGTTTTCCCTCATCTGTTTCGACTCTTCTTCAAGCATTCAATTTTCACATGTGTCCTCAAGTATCCATATAACTTTTTAGCATTCCATTAAACGTCTCATCTTTCGTCTCCTCACGAAAAGCCCATTTTATTCAAGTACGAAGGCAATGTGGGCAAAATTTAGCCACTTTAGTGCATTTTTATGCGATCGAGAGCATGTGAAGAATGGAATTGCATTGTAAGAAGGACTAGCAGTTTTAAAAAAAAGAATGAAAATTCAGAAAAATTCATCTTAATCTTTCTCATCCACATAAAATGATGTTCAACAGAAAATCTATTTTCTATTTTTTGAATTATCAAAAAGTTTCCATTTTTGATTTTTGAATTTTTTTTTTACTCGGCTGATTACTTGAGTGCCCTCTAGAAACTGTGAAAATTTATCAAGTCCAGTTTTTTAATTTTTGTATTTTTTTATTCGGCAGATTACTTGAATGCCTTCTAGAAACTGCAAAAGGTATTTAGAAAGTCTTAATTTTATTAATTTTTTGATTCTTTTATTCGACAGCTTACTTGAATGCCCTCTGGAAACTGTAAAAGAAATTTATCAGAAAATCTCAATTTTTTATATTTTGAATTTCTTGTTATTCGGCAGATTACTTGATTGCCCTCTAGAAACTGTAAACAAAAGCATTTCTAACATAATCTTTGTCTCATAAAGAAAACCGGTTCCACAAAAAACAACGTAAACAATTTCCACCGACTTGGTCGAGTTGTGCAAAAACAGACAATATTTTCAAAAGTGTTATTTGTTTGTTCATTGCTTGCAAATCTGACCGTTCAAGTAAACAGCAAAAAATAGCAAAACAAAATTTTTACTTAATGATTTTACCTGAAACATCTTCTTCTTGGAACGTAGCCAATTAGACAATGTGAACATCGTCGAGTGATCCATGAGAGGAACTTCTAAAAGTATGCAAGGATGAGAAGATACGAACGATATCGCAAATTGTGCGTCACGCAACGAAAATGCCGGATGACACAGATGTTCGCTTGTGAGAAAAAACAGAAAATTGCTGGCGCCGATCGGTGCAGTCGCGCGCACGATCGCTTGCACTTGTAATCGTAATAAATGAGCGAGGTGGGAAAGTTACGGGGAGGGGGGAGAGGATGGGGATTATTGGAATTTATGGGAAGATCAATTTTCGGTGTGGGAGGCATGGAAGGTAATTTATAAAGTAAAGCTTTGTGGGATAATCCCGGCTTGGAAAGATATTAGAGGAGGGAAAAGCTTAGGAGATTGATAAGAAATGTCACAGAGCAGAAAGGGAGTAATGGAAAGTAAGAAGATTTTCAAAATACACTTATATGGGGGAAAATCCACCTAGTAAGGTCTCAGGACCCTAACAACCTAACAAAACACCCAGGAAAGTCTAACGAACCCTAACTAACTAATACTTTTATACTATGCGATTACAGGTCACCTGGTTAAGAATGAGCGAACTTTGAATGTATCTAGTTAGTGTCGGACAGCATCAAAGATGGCAAAAACCGGACCCTCGCCTCTCCCCTCCTCCCCCCCCCCCTTAGTGCAGGCATCCCCATAACTTTTACGTCGTAGAACGGAGATAAATATCGCCATGAGATGAACTTTCGTAGCCACGCGATGATTAAAATAGTCTTGCGGAGGGCAGGAAAGCGGGGGGGGGGGGGCGCAAAGAACGTTCATAGTTGCGCGGACGAGTTTCATAAGAAGTCCAAGAGGAGAAAGAAAAGAAAGATACGGATGAGAATTTGCGAGACAAAAATACAACAGAAGAGAGTGCGGACGATAGTGGTTGGTAGAAGGTAGCAAAGAAATAAAAATCGAAAAAAAAAATCTTCAATAAAAATAGTGACCAGCCAAAATAAGGAGAGAAAAATTATCACGTTGAAAATGGAAATTACTGTATCTTCTGGCCACTATAGTAACTCCCACCCCCCCCCCATGTACAGTTCCAGTTCTATAACACGATCTAACCCAGGTTCATCACGGAAATTCAGAAAAGCTGCAGCTGAGATATTCATTATCAACTAACACAATGATAAATTCTTGAAAGAATTTTCTGGATTGTGAATGAGTCAATGGTATCAGAAGTTGTTAGTTGTCATCATACTATACAGTTCCAAAAGAATTTCTTCTTAGGAATTGAAATCCAAGGCGATTTTTTATTCTATGCGTCAGTCTTTAGGGAATCTGACATTCTCAAAAATCAGCAAAATTCCAAACTTTGTGCCATTGTTTGATGTACATCGTTATTGTACATCGTTATCATATACGTAACAATAAAATACCACATGCGTTAGAAACTATATAAAAGTTATCCTCCATATGGAAACGGCGTTTGAGCGTTTTGAGCGAATTTAATTTCTGATAAAGGCTGTGTTTCAAACTGATAGTCATATAGTTGGATCCGATATCTACCACACAAACGCAAAAGGTTAACTTCTCTATCAAATGCTCTTCCCAAGCACCAAATGAGAACATGAGACTCACTATGTAGACAGATTTAGGACTTTTTAAATGAACAAATGCTGGACTACCACCATTGTTGTTGGCTTCTCTCAGGTTGTAGAGATGTAAATCACAGACACAACTACACAAACATTGAACTTTAGACAAATTTACACTGATACAACACGAGGAAGTATAGAGCAGAACAGATGACCACTAAGTAGATTGAGATTGATGGATTTACTTTTTACAAGAAGAACTTTTTCAACGATTTTTCCAGGGAGTGTTATTCGGTCTGAATCCCAGTGATACTTCTCGCTTCTTAACACGTTGACGACAGCGCGCATTTTTAGTCTGCGTTTTGGGACAATGTCTTCACTTCCGAGTTGAGAGTTTCTAGCCAAAATCAAGCAGGCCGTCATCTACAGTATCCCTACAGTGTTTTTGAGAAGCAGCCAAGAAACGCGGAAGTAATTTATAGAAATAGAGCATAATAGAACCTCTGAAACAAGGGTCATTGCATGACCCACCATGTGGGTCACGTTGTCGTCAATGTGTTAAACAAAAAGTGGATCTCTGGGGAGAAGGGGAGAAACGAATTTTCTCAAAATCAGGACGAGCACAATTTCGTAAAACAACTTCAGGAAGATTCATATAATAATTTTTTTTCAAAAAGAACTGCATGATTTGATTTTTAATTGTACTTTGCTTCCTCTCGTTGACCTTCACTTCTTGCTTTGGAGTTGTTTTAGTAGTTTGGCAGCCGTAATGAGTTATGAAAAGATTAATGGCTTAATCTAAAATTTTAAAAAAATTGGATTTCACCCGATGTAGAGAAGGAACTATGAGCAAGACAAAAATTTCCCTCCTCCCCGTGTACTGATTGAGCTCAACAACAAACGTAATTGTTTTGTTATCAATGGCTAATCAGCGGGAACAAACTTTGTCTTTGAGTAAAGTGTTAGTAACACAATACCTGGTTGATTATTGAACTTTGTGGACTAGACAACTCATGAGCGGGCTAGACAATCAGTGTAGGAGGGACTGCACTACTAGGTATATACATCTATAATTTGGGTAATTTAATGTACCGATGTTGTGATACAGCTTGTACTATCTATATTATTATGTATTTCATGGAAAAGGATTTTCTGCTCTCCTTGGGATTAACAGAAAAGTCTTTAAGTTTGAGTTGCTGAAGCAAATTTGATCACATGAGTTTAGCAAATGACCAAAATTTACAACATCTCACCTAGTTCTTCTTGCGTCTACTTGACTTACAAATACTTTTTTTACCTGAAAAAAATAAAAAATCTCAATGTTACTCATATACGCGCTGGATAGGCTGTGCAACAACTATTCTTTCATTTAGAATCCTTCAAATTGTTTTTCTTTACTTTAAAACTTTATTGTTAATCATACATTCACTGAATAGTCATTGTTGCATAAACTTTCATTCGACACCGTTTTTTTCTCTTTTGAAGGCTGGAAATACCTCACTCACTCATTCATATTCTTAACTTAAGTTATAATTATTATACGGAATTCTTTATAAGCTCTGCTAATAAAACTTTGATATGGAAACCCAGAACTTTTTGAAAGGATACATTGGAATCAGATTATCGTAAAGTTCATAGTACATTCTTTATATTCATACGAGAATTTCAGGAATCGTACATGGTAAAAAAAGATAATTAATAGTAAGCAAAAATGTAATAAAGTATCATTCCATCTTTGAGGAATGAAATTCAGGAAAAATTACTTTTCCTAGATTCGTTTTATTTCGGATCGAAACGGAAACTGAGATACAATTCTGTAATTCTCTTTCTTTGTGGAATCATATTCTCCTCACTACAATCCAAATCGTGAATTAGTGCAAGATTTGTTTACTTGAACATTTTGAGAGTGCGGGTGGATATTTGCCGGCTCATCAATCACAAGTTGCTCTCGACAACAATAAGAATGAAGCAATTTGTAGTGAAACTGACAGAAATGAGTTATGTGGTGTGCGAGTGGACGAGAGCTCAGCTGTTGTCTCGTCACATTCGATACAAAGTCTGATGAGAGTCTGGAAATTTATTATGGACATTAGTGAGAAAGTATAAAGCTATAAAATATGAATGAAAGATATAAGTGAAGTATATAAGGTACAAAATCCACTATAATCCGGAGAAAAGTACAAAATAAATTATATGCTATTATGAACGTGAAAACCTAATATAGTCTTATGCTGAAAGTTAGCGAAAGCTACAGAATATGAATAAAAGATAGAGATGAAAAGTGCAAAAGTACGAAATTTAGTACAATCTTGAAAAAAATTCAAAAATATAGATCAAATCAAGATGAAAGATATGAGATTTTTATTTCGAAAAGTAGCTCTAGATAGGAGGAGTAAAGCAAATTTTTGAAAAGTCTACTTCACATAATGGTGATAATCTCTTTTTATTCACCTATATGGGAAAGTTCTTGGTCAAATTCATGCTTCTAAAACCAGAATCTCGCTGCATATAGGCATAATGCAAAGGAAAAGCAGTCGTAGACTATTCAGAATTAGTTATGAGAGATCGTCTGGAGCATTGTTATTTTGGAATTGAATGACTGGATACATAAAAATTAGAGGTTCATCGAAAATGGTTCGCATCGTCTGCGAACGTGAATAAGATGAGAAATGAAGGGTTTGAGAATCCCGCCCCTTTCGGGTTTCTTACCCGTACATCAGAAAAACAATTGCACTTCGCTACTTTTTTCCTGCGCAGACTTCAGAAACTTTTGAAAAATGGAATTTTGAATAGAAGTGACCTTTTATGTGACGTGTGATTCTTCAAGTGGCGGTCTAATGCTAATTTGGATGCATTGTTTAGACAAACAAGCAAAAAAAATTGTACAGGGAAAAATATGCAAGCCCATATTTAGTTAGTCGGTGGTGTAAATGAACAGGAGTAGCGTTTTCGAAAGTCTTCAAAAAATCCATTAAAACATAGTTTGTAGTCGCTTCCATTATTTTTAACTCTTTTTTCAGACTTTTAGAAGAATATATCTCTCTTCGTCATTGATATCCATATTGTAATCGGGTTATAAATGGTCAATTTTCCAAAAAAGCAGTTTTAATTTTTGTCGAATAAAGACTAAGCAGTTAGAATCACAAAGCTGATTTTAGTAAGAAATCAAGGTTCAATAAAACTTGTTTATTTTGAAAAAAATGGTTCCAAATCTGTTCGTGATCACGCTCAGTCTTTACAACTCTTTAGAAATCTGTCAATTTTTTTCGGTATTTCATTCTTTGACAAGAGTTTTTTTTTCAAATTCGTAAGACTCTATTTTCAAGGTGCACAAAATTTGTCATATCTTTGCGTGACTGCAGTGTTATGAGGTTTTTTTCTGGTTTCACAAAATTTACTGGCTCATTCAAATGTAGCAGAGGTAACAAATGTGAATGCGCCAGTATTTGTAAAAAAAAATGATATAGAAGCGATG